CAAAGCGCACGGTTTCGCGAATGCGAATTTCTACATTCCCCGACGACCCACACCTTCCCAGCAACGCGGGTAAATGGGTCGCCTTTCACGAGAGCGTTTCTTCAGCGGGATCCCGCGCGGCTCTGGTGGACCCATCGAATATTTAGCGATTTTAGCAAAACTTACGGACAAGGCTCAACCGTGACTACGAAGCGTTGCTCCGTGCAGAATCGATCACGCGCGAAAAGCATGCAGAAGTGAGAAGCGTGCGCCGCGTGAAACGCTCCGCGTTGCCGCCGCAAACGAATTCCCGCATCGCTCGAATCCGCGTGGAAACGAAGGTATTCGACTACTGTAAAGTTTCAAGCGTTTCGTAGCATTGTTCCAAGTGAAGAGGATCGCAGAAGCAAAACAACAAAATCAATTGCGTTGATTAACGTACGTTACGTTTACCTTTCATTCGCGTATTTTACAACAATTTACATTCCAAATAAAAATGTTTTCCACGAAAATAAAGTTAACGAATTTGAGCATCGCGGTATTGCTCCTCGCGGCCTCGACATTTCGAAATCCTGCTAAATTGCTGTCCGCGGGCTACCGTGTTTATACAACGTCGAGCTCGCCACCGGATTTTCCGCCGTGCCTCGCTGTGCGACCCACGCGCGCACAAATACACTGTTTTTCCATCATTGTTTTCTGCAATGCCAACTTTTCATTAGAAATGTGTGATTCAGTAATAACACGTCGTTGTTGGACAGTGGAGGTTCATGCGGATTTGTATTTTTCTGCGGATAGCGAACAGAGTGGTTGGACCTGTGTAATTAAGTTTAATAATATCTTTTATTTTCGTAACGTTGGTATCGTGCTAGTTGTTTCCAGATCAATATTTATGTAATATTTCATCGTTCGTGTAATGATGGGAGCGTACAATGCTATGTCAGTAATAGATATCAAAGTAGTAGTCATTATGATAAAAATTGGTCGACATTTGGTCGACAAAGTGTTAACTGTATATTTAGTCGTCTAATCATTGCAACATTTTGTATTTTTATTTTTTATGTTTTATATATTCATGCATCTGTTCGCGTCATCCTACATTTTCGTATATCTGCGTATAAATGCACAAATACCCGCGATCAATCTTTCAAAGCGCGATGTCTGTTTCGTTCTTGGGGTTCGAATGCCATCAATCGCTTTGAGCGGCATAGAAAACGGAGAAGGGAACAAGGAAAGTTTTCGAGCAACCGCGAGCAGTGTCGTTCTTATTGTTGAACTTGGTGGCAGACTTTCCCAGTCGCCGCTGGTCGCACCCTGTTGCATTTATGCAACGGTCCGTGGAGCGTACTCAAAGGGTTGGGGAGGTTTGCGCACGTGTAGAGGAGGAGCTGGACAGAGGAGGTCAAGCTGACTCGAGCGACGAAACACCGAAGCCAGAGTGCGGTGTCACGGCACAGTGAACTTTTCCCTCGGTGGCTTTTGACTGCTGAGGAGGGCGAGGATCGTCTGGCCCCGCTTCCAGCAGGAAGGCCCCGACTCGCCTCACCTCGAGGGTGAAACGAATCGACGCAGCTGCGCTCCCGACTCTGATAATTATCTTCGCTCGCTACCACCCTATTGTTCCACGGACCGCCTCCCTATCGGCCGTATATTCTGTCCAGGTTGGGCCCTGGTCCCTTTTGCGGCCCTCGGGGCCCTCGTCGATTCGACTCGACGCACCTCCTACGCAGCTGCGACTCGAGAGACCATCCAGAGGGAGAGACTGTTGCGCGATGCAACTACGGAGAGTACCACCAGGCTGTTACCATCCTGCTCTCCGAGAGAATTGCGGTGGATGGGCACTCAGGGTGGAATCTAATGCGTGGAATCCACTTCTGGGATTACATCCACCTCTTACTTGGGAATACAAGCTTTCGGTACTAAGTATTCGATGGAAATGCTGCGCGCGAATATTACAAATATTTAGACGTACGCTTTGACATTTCTGACAGTTTGACCCTCTATGACCTCGCGTAACTAAAATATCGACACTTTACCAAATAATTTTAGTTTCTCCACAAGATAACACGTACTACTTCATCGTGGAATGAGCCGTTAATCGATTAACTCTACTTTTTAAGGAATCTATTATTTATTATTGTTATTATTGTAATAACATTGTAACCGATAACAATATCGATGTAACTGCCCTGCAAGTTGTCTGCGGCATAAAATGAAATCGGACTCGTTGAACACAATACGTTGCCGGTAACGATGGCGACCTTAAAAACGACGTTCCCCCTCGACGTTTCCGTACTTCTTGCTAAAAGAGTAAAAAGCTACGCCGAAAAGAAGACGGGCGCGCGTTTTTTGTCATTTCTTAAACGAGCGCGGCCGACGTGACAGAAAGAGTTTCCTGAACTGCGACGAGACACAGCGGGGTTTTTTTCTAATTCCCTCAACAGCCATGAATGCGAACAAAATTGCAACAATTTGCGCAGGATAAGGCACTGCGCGCTTCTATTTTCCTTTCTCTTTGGGGACCTGGTGGCGGGGACTTGTTACTTCGGTATGTTTATCGTATTAAACGATACGGGAAATAAAAAAAAAGAAAGAAAGAAAAAGAAAAGTCATTTTATTCGAGGGGTAAGGGGCGCTTAAAAATTTTAATTTTGGTATTTTCTTGAACATTTCAAGAATATTCTCAAGTTGATCAGACTAAAATGACAAAGTTATGACTCTCGATAGTAAATGTGTGAAGTTTTAGATGATCCATTTTTTTGGAGATACTCTAGCAGATCGCTGATATCTCCAAGAATTTATTATATTTCCGGATGAAAATTTTCGTGTTATTTCCTCAAGCATACATCCTTCGAACATAGGAACGCTGATTACGAAATATGTCAATCGAGCATAGAAGAAAATTCGCCTTTTTTCGACCTCGCAATTTTGGAGATCCTCTAGTAGATCGCTCATATCTACAAGAATTTTTTATATTTCTGGATGAAAATTTTGCTGTTAGACTTTCAAGCATGTATCTTTCGAATAGGAAAACACTGATTATAAGCATATAAACCAATTACAGATCAAAATTCGCGAAGAAGTGCCTTTTTCGCCCGACCCCTTAACTGGTTCATGGAGCAGAACCGCTTTCCATTACATCGAATCGTCGATTCTGTATCTCCATATTCGACCCCACCCTCGGCTCGCGTGCAAGTGGACAGTGACAGTATTTCGCACTATGTTAGAGCACAAGCGGGAATAGCTACCGACACACGAAAGAAACGAGCTTTCTCAGGAACAGCTAGCCTTTTGTCAGCTCCCACGACTCCTCCGCGTGCGTTCAGACTTTCCAGCGACACTGATCCCTTCGAATCTCCTGTATTCCCAGCTCCTTCGCGCCTCTTTTCTCTGCCTTTATTTCGCTGGCGATTTTCCTCGGTTCCTCGTTTTTTTAATTTTGCATCATCCTCGAGTTTATTCTTTGCCGTGGTATCGTTTATTATCTTTAAAGAAAGGAAGTGAAGAGTCTACCTCCTGGGACATTGTTTGTTACTAATTCTGTAGTCAATGATATAGCAAGATAATGACGAACACTGAATTTATCGTCATGTTGTGTCAGTTGCACTAAAAATTCTATTTTTGTCCAATTTTGACCATCAGGACCAGAACGATTTTACCATGCTTCCAAGGAATTTCCATAGTGTTTATATTTTGTATAGAAACAGACATTCCTTAAAGAATGCGATAATTGTCAAGAATATTCGAGTGAGAATTTGCATCTTATCGATTTGCATCTTAAATGGTTTCCAAGACTTATCTCCTCCCCAAACGCTTTTTACGAACGATTCTAATATCTAATTGAACACGTTCCCTTATTCTGTTCACCTCGTGCCCGATAAAATGTACTGGTTTTAACAATTGGAAACTGTTGGATTTGCAAATGGGAGATTCGTTTCGATCCCGAAGGTGTCGAAAGTCTGCGGAGGCTTGAAACTTCGAACATCTGATTGTCGTTGTCCATGGAATACCGAAGTGTTCGCGAAGTATCCGTAGCCTGTGGAGCCCGTTAGATATCGATGACTCTAAAACTTTCATGATATTTACGACTTCGGAGACTTTCGGGACATTTGAGACTTTCGAGACTTTCCAATCGCGAATGCCTCGCCGTACGTTTCGAGACTTCCCGAAGTCCTCGAAGTCGAGAAGGTTTAAATCCTAATCGCTGGGTTCGAATCGGTTCGAAGGCTGAACGTCAAAGTGCGTTCGTCGGATTAACGACTGCGAGGATCGATTCTGTCTAAATATTTAACAACGGCCGGGGCGTAATTGTCAAGAATTATCGTTTCCTCCGCGGTGTTCAAGATCGTAGCGCGTTCCTTACGCAATTCATCCTGTTTCGATCGCGAATCGTGCCCCGCTGAGCGCGTACGACGTTGCGTACCCGCCACGAAGGCGAGATAATGTTTTCGATGAAATTAGAGAAATTGTTTTATCTCTCGCAAAAGTGCAGGCACTGTCGAGCAATTATTTCTTCGATTATCCGAGTATCTGAGGATCGATATATACGAGTGTTACCGATAGAAATTAATTAAGTATTTACTTTTGTTATTGTTGATTTTGTTAGATTAAAGTATCAGCCTTCGTAAGAGCGAAACACGCTCGCGTGAAGTCACACGTGCTCTTTTGAAATGTGCGACGGAGAGAAAATTAAAAAAAATTATATGTGTTTTCTTTTTTATTTTTTTTTTTTTTTTTTAAACAAATAGTAACTTAACTTTAGAAGAGCTCAGGATTAATTCCTACACCTAATATAATTGAGTATCTTCCACGAAGGTGGAAGAATTGTTTATCTGAAGAAGTGTCATATTAATGAAACAGACAGGTGTTTCATGTGTGATTTTTAGTACGACGAAAAACGAAAAATTGTATGCATTTTTTTTTTTTTTTTAAACAAATAGTAATTTAACTTCAGAGTAGCTCAGAATTAATTCCTACATCTAATATAATCGACTGCCTTCTACGGAGGTGGAACAATCCCTTACCTGGAGAAGAGCGCCGATCAAGCAGACGCCAAAGACGACGACGATTAATCCTCGTCCAGGAAGCATCTTCTTCGTCCTCTTTCCTCTTCTTATCCTCGATATCTCGTGGAAGCAACGATCGACTACGGCTCTACGTCCCACGCGATTCCTTCGGCTCGGTGGTGCACATCGATCACTGAACGAATCGGTTCTACTCGATATCCGACCAGGATACGAGAGTGTCCGCTTAAAATCCGTTTTCCACGGTTCACGACCCGACCGCGCGATTCCCTCGATCGTCGAACGATACGACTCACTGCTCTTCGCCGTCGATCGATCCTCGAGATCGACTAGCGCGCGATTTCGATCGGTTTCCAACGAATAACGAAACGGATCGGCGAACGGTCTCGTCGTTACTTCGGCGAAGTAAGTCGGTGTCGGTCTCGAGGATAACCGCGGAACGGAGGTCCTGCTTCGAAGGAGGCTGAACGGGAATTGAGGGAACAGCGACAGTGCAGCTGTTATTGTTGAACACGCGCTCGGTCACGTGGCCGACCCCCACCTGGTCAGCACTCCAGACACCCTGGAGCAACTTCTGCGGTTCATCGAAGGGGGATGATGCGTACCTATGATTTTTTAGACGGTCGATGATCCATACCCATTTGGAGACTCTTTTCTCGCGGATCGTCGCGTCGATTGGGGAGATTTGTGATTTGGATGGCGAGGGAAATCAAATTTGTGAGGTTCAAGGCTTGTACTGTTAGGGGTTGTTTATTGGATTTAGGGTAAATTTCGTTGCTAGAGCTCTCTTTCTTTCTGTGTACGATACGGATAGATTATACTGACGTAAGGTTAAGGTAGAATAATATAGATTGTGAAATTTATGTACAAGGTTGGCACTGTTAGGGGTTGTTTATTGGATTTAGGGTAAATTTGGTTCCTAGAGCGCTCTTTCTTTTTCTATACGATATGGATAGATTATACTGACGTATGGTTCAGGTAAAATAATATAAAATTTATATACCTACAGCAGAGGTTCTTAAACTATGGGTCGCAACCCCAAATGGGGCCGCTTTAAAAATACAAATTCAAACATGCAAATTTATTAAACCACCTTGCGAGGAGTCATTCTTGTTATCTTAGTCACTGTAACAAAAATTCGCCATTCCAAAATGACGTAACTTCATTCTTTCCTTTTTTAACATGTTTCAGAATACGCCCACGCATCACTGTTTCAACGATTGGCTGCCAGACGACAGTTTTCGAGATCATCAGCTGTTATGCTACCATAGAAAGGGGATTATCTTCGCTTCGAAATGACGCGAGTAAAATTATCACTGGCTCTCCGACTGTGCGAGTATCGAAGCTGTGTCTGCCAAGGCGGTAAGAGGCGCCTTCGAAAGGGCAACTGGTGGGAGGTCCGCAGAGTCGATTCTTTTATGTTGATTCCACCGTAATCGCGTCTAAAGCAACGTTTGCTGTACAAAGTCCATGCCACGCGAGCATTAACGTTAACAGACGTCGGAAGGAGCAAAGAACCACAGAGATTTCCGTCTGACGTTGCTTTGCTATTGTCCCTTTGATCGGCTTTTGCTGGGGCCGCGCGGTACGTCGGAATTCATTCGTTAAACAGCGAAAATGGTTCACCGACTTCGGTGACGACTGGGACGAAAATAATCGACCGACAATTTCTTCAGTTTACCTGAAGCGATGAAACACAAGAAAGAATTGAAAGAAAAAAGTGTCCCTTCTTTGAATCGCAAGGGTAATTTGAATAACACTGCTGTTGCGCGTAATTATTATGAAAATAATACCAGTGAAGTTTATCGAGGCAAAGACGTAGTCGAGCACAGAAATTGGCGAAATGTATCGTAATCACGAATTTATTCTGACCGAGCAATCGTAATTTTAGCGATCCTTCGATCTGATCTAAACATGCCCAACTCTACTGCACAACATTTTCTTACGAGGACCTTTAATAATACCGGAAGTTCAATAATCTACTCCATTAACAAATGGTCCATGATCTCCCTCGGATACAGGATCGCTCGATTACGATTCTGGCCTATTAACGAATTTATTCTGACTGACGTATGATAATTGAGGGGAGTTCTTCGATAAGGAAGCAGCTCTATTTTTTCAAATTTTTGGGAAATTAAAAAAGAAGAGAACGAAATTCTCTTTCAAACACATGTGCTTATTTTGTTCTTCAAATATTTCTCGATACAGACGAAAAATGCAGAATACAAAAAATCGTGCAACTAGTGCAAAAGTCATTCTTTATTATTGCACCACGAAAAAAGGGATTTTTACCATCTGCGATTATGTTCTAGCCTCAAAACCGTAAAAAACCGGAGCTGCCTCTTTATCGCAGCACACCCCTCGATTTTAGTAATCCTACGATCTTATCCGAGCCAACTCCGGTGCTCGATATTTTCTTACTCCTCCAATGATACTGTAAGTTCGATACCACCACCGTTTAATTCGAGCGTTAATTGATCAATTAACGGATGGTCCACGTTCTCCTCCGGGTACAGGATCATTCGATGATGATTCTGACGCGCCAACGAATCGTCACGAACGCCGGCTGTCGCGCGAGCAGATTGCAAGCACCTGTCCTACAGAAAATATCCTCTGGTGGATATTCAACGACGAAGCTGGCACGGCAGAAGGTTTGTCAGCTGCTACCGCAGCTGAGGTAACCGATCGTCCTCCATCGGTGCGGGATGACGATATATAGATCGCAAAATTCCGCTTTCGATCCGTCCTGGACCGTGCTCCGTCTCGATCTCGAGTTTCACGAACCAACTGCTCCGCGAGCCGGAGATTTTTCAATCTGTCGATATTACGCCACATATTTTTCCAGAGATCGTATTTCATCGTTAGGCTTTCAAGATCGCGTAGGTGCTTTCTAGGATGCACCGATGCGTCGAGTATGTAAATAGGGACGCGTTCGACCATCGTGGTCCATCTGGCGACACTTAGAGAGGACCTCATACTTGGAAGACTTTAAGAATCGAACGTGTTATACTTTCAATGTTTTGTGTTCAAAAAATGTTAGGTGTAGAAACGATTTCTGTGCATTTATATTTGTAACTTTAGTTACATATTTACTCGTCATTCTGGTACGTTCAAGTACGAATTTTCTAAATCGTCAACCTGATTTCTATTACGGTGTATTTATACGCTAAGTCTTAGTCTGATGGCTTTATCGTGAGAACTGTATCACGCGTATGAGATTTTCTACAGTGACCTCTCAACGAAGACGAATTCGAGAAACTAAATGGTTGGCAATTTAACATATAATAACGAAATGACAATTAAATATTAGGCATATAAAAAATTTCTGCGCTTAATGAAAAACCTGTGGACCAAAACTTTATTCAATTCGACATCCGTGGTCGTTCAACTGTCTCCTTGTACGTTTCTCTCGCACGCGTTGCCTTTCGATAAGGAAAGGCGAAATTTATGAAGAATGTTAAGAAAACGTTACATCATACATCGTATAAGCTTCCGCGTTACGTGTTCCCCATACGATACGAAGTTACGACGCGTGTCAGCTTCGAGTTTCCGAAACATCTCCCCAAAAATCCATCGTTTTTTGTGAGGTCGTGGAGCGTGCAGGTTGGTTTCGAGTTCCTCGCTCGATTGCTCGGAAATTTCACCTCGCGCAACGTATTAAATTCGCTAGAAATGCTACGAGACGTGTCTTTTCGTCGCGTACTCGATATTTACAGTCCTGCGTGGTCGTGTTACCGATAGGAAACCCAAGTACGATAGAAGCTCCATAATTTGTATCGAAATAAACGCGAATATTCTTCTTTATATCCACTTTCTATGACATTCGATGGTATAGACTTCGAAAAGGAAGAGGTTACCCAATTCGACGTGTATATATTTTTTTCTTTTATTCTCTCTTCGAGGTTTGTATTGTATAAGAATTTCGATCGCCTCTGGAATCAAAAATTAACATAATTCAAGTGGATACGGGTGTCGTGGTCCAAAAAGATAAGAATCTGATAACCATGGTTAAATGGCCAGTGTTTTATAAGAGACGTGATCAGTCTGCAAATAAATTGTATACACCGCACGCTTCTGAATTATGTCAATGCAAGTCTATGCGGGTTCTGTATGAAACGTGTTGCTGGAAGAAAAAGACGGCACAAGGGACACCTGGATGTCCTCGTTATCGTTGCGTTTCTCGATGACGATCATTTCATCCGACGCGATACCGTTTTCTCGATGGATACCAAATTAGATATTTTTGAATGTTCGTTACCTGTTTGCTCGTTTTCCTTCGAATTCTATTTAGTCCCGAGCCTTGCGAAGCTATACCACGTCACCTTCTATAAATGCGGTATTCGAGGCGTTCGTTTCAAGTGCATCGTCTTATCAGTTTTATTAAATGGGAAAGGTCAGCTCGGTGAAAGCAACGCGAACGGAAGAAACGCCACAAACAACGAATAAGATTCAGCACCGATTGCTGCTACGAGAAGAGAGGCGAATAGCGACCAAAGCTTAAAGGGACCGGAATCGAGGTCGATAAAGTACAGAAAACGCCAACGCCAAACGATAATTAATCGACTGGATGTCGAGCGAAGGCAATAATAATCGAGAGACTCCGGTAGACGAAGATTGCAAAAGATCTAGTCCAGCTGTTGATTCCACGAGGCCTGTAGACCGAGCGTTTCCCATACATAAATAACGCCTCGCCTACACCCACCGTATTATATGGTCCCATTATATCGTATTATATCAACCAGCCATTATCCGGCCTCTTCTCTCGTTGCTTCATCTCCGTCCTCGGGTATCGTCAGCTGAACCAGACATTCAGAAAGAGCGTTGTCTCGTACAGAATGATTCGCGACACAATTTATCGTTGCTACCGAACGCTTAAGAACCGACGTTCCTTTAGAGACTTCCTGTGCGGTAATTACTAGACTCGAGGATATTTATGCAAAATTAATATTCGCTGGAGAAATTAATTATCTGGCTTCTAGGATTAACTTGCTATTTATTTACGAAGAATCGTGCGAGTTTTAATCTTCGGTTACACATTCCAAGAGAGTATATATAATTATAAAATGATATTTCAAAGTGTGATTCGTTACTGTTGCTCTTTACTGTTCGTTATTAAATATTCTTGTTTAAACTAGAGTTATAGATAAAGAGGAAATAGTATTCGAATTGTTATTAATATTGAAGCAAATGCTGCATGTTACTGTATACATTATGAATGTTTAATCGATTCGGAGATATCAATTTTTATTGCATCTCGAAATTTCGGATTGTTGTTATAATTAGTATTAGGTGAAGGAATTAATTCTGTTAAACACAACGCGATGGACTGGCGATGAACAATAATCTGAAAAGCATCTGTCGAATGTCAAAGAGGAAACAAGGAGAATAACATTAGCGAACCGGAAACTGGGAGCCAAATTTCGCCCTTTTGCCTGGCTCACGGCACCGTGAACGATCGCATGAATTAACATTTTGATGCCGCGAGTCGTCGGGTAGTTTTAATTTATAATTAAGACCCCCGGGCTAATTGCAGTCGACCGGGGACCAGACTCGTAACTGCACTGTCGAATAATTAATGATGTGTTTGCTATCTGGCGAACCTGTAGTTAGGCTTGCATTCTCGATAAGACGTTTCGTCGACTCCCTATCGCGGATCTTACAAATTCAAACCACGCTTCGTTGCTCGTAGCGTATAATTTTAATGTTTCTCTTGTTGGAAATCAATTGTGTCCCAAAATCTTCGGGATATCATTCCTGAGAGTTTGGATATTTTGAAAACATCGTGATAGGTGTATTTTTGTAGGAATTTCTGAATTATAGTAGTCTTGACAGAATCTTTTATTTGAATCGATTGTAGTATCGAACAGTGACCAACTGCGGTGCTAGTTAATTATAACGAGACCTTGTTGATAAACTATCGACAGAGAGTAAGGTAGATATCTGTTGAATGGTATCAAGAAGACTAAGAATTACCGACCGTACTCGTTTAAGGTCGGTGACTCTGTCAACCGTAATACCAAATTCGGTAACGTTTACAAATTCAGAAATATATTATTTTGTAGATTGGCAAAACAAAGCATAGAAATCATAGAATAGGCTCGTCGTTCGCTTCAAGTTTGTGCATTCGCGAGATACAGATACTTAGGAATAATCAGCTTTATCGGCTGCACAAACTGAAGTACCGACCACGTGATATATTAATAGGTTAGAGCGCGCTCTACACTTTGGAACAGTGACTAAGAATGACGATCAGTCATCGAAGTCGGTAAACGTAGTTTCTGTCGATACTGGAAGGCTCAACAAATGTTCTGACAAACGAGTAACGTCAGTTCTTTAATTAATCTTTAAATAATGAATCACTGTACGTGGAATTAAAAATATTTCCAACGTTAGAACTACTCCAGCGCTTTCCTCAAATTTTTAAATCACCGAAACAACTCTTCGAAGTTTGGAGAGTAGAATAATCAAGACAATTTTTCAAAGTTTATACAAGTTTTATACAAGTTTTATACAAGTTTAGAATTTCATATTTCAGACACTTTCGAGGTAGATACTCTTCATGCTAGTATTGTCTTAACATTCTTCCCGCTGTCGGAAACAGTTCCGGAGCTCTTCAAAGGGAAGATTGTACGTAGCCTCCAGCGATTTTCTTTCATTCCCTGCACATCAAGGAAAAATTCCTCCTTTCATAGTTTTCTTTAATCGTGGGAATAGGAAAGTAGCACGGAGCGAAATGGGGCGAGCAGGGTAGGTGAAAATCAAGCGCCATGTTGTTTTTGCCTAAAACTGACCGATAAGATCCCGAGGTGCCTTATCAAAATTGCATGATGAATTTCTTAGGAACTTATTTCCCTCGTGTATTTCCTATTCGCATCCTTGCATTAACTATTCATTTAACAAACGTTTCATTCCAGAAAAAACTTCGCGAAGTAGATAATTACACTTCTACTATTCTAATCATACGTGTTCTTTGAATTGCATCGTATTGACATGATTCTCATATGAATATGAAAATTAGCAGACAAATATGCGCAAGCTGGCACGAGCCAACGCGAACGTTGTCTTTATATTCTCTGTTAAAACTATAGATAAATTAACGATTATTTCAGCCTTCTGGTGTCTCGAGTGATTCGACATTTGAAATTTACATTTTTTTAGATTATTTACGGCTTATTTCACTTCTTCTAATTAGGATTTTATCATCTTTTCTTTCGTTTAACTGCGCGTGTTTTGTGAATATGGAAATAGTTAAAAGGTTAGAAACACAAGGAAACGATCGAGAAAAGACTCGCACTTTTTATTTCTCTGTATAACACTTACCAATATAAATATAACATAGACGTGTATAAACGTAACAATATACAAATATAACAAACAATGTAAAAAGTAATCGTTGAGCAGAACTGGTGTGTGTTGCTATGGTGAATAGAATATGAACAATGTCGAGTAACTATCGCTTGGCAGAACTTAGGCTAAAACCTCTGACCTACAGCGATGTATTATGCGCTGCAGGCTGATCTTCCTTTCTCCTAGATCTTCGTTGCCTCGCACCTGACGATCAACACGCTAAAAACCTGGCAAAGATGAACGAAATTCATAGGGAACAATAAAAACACCGCATAGTGATTTATTAGCAACGCTTATCCTAATTGGATAGTTGTCAGGTTAATCGCGTCTTCGTTCGATTCGAAAGACGATTCCATCTAACGAATAAAATTGCAATCAATCAAAGCTTTTATCTAGATAGAAATTGTGCTCGTCTCTGCCCGGTAAAAGAATGTCAATGTTCGCGATACGATCCAGCGAGGGAAGCAGGAAAAGATGAAAATGGAGAATTTCAAATAAAAGTACGAGAAACTCAACGATCAGTTCGAGAGCGGTTCCTTTTCGCTGGAACTCGCTTGGTTCTTTTTCTTCAAAGCGCGGGCCCTTATGTTGCACATTTGCTTCGAGATCAACCATATCGCGCCCTTTTCGCACACGCAATGCAATGTTTGTATAAAAGCGGTGAACAAGAAGTGAGGCAGGTATCCAGTTGTTAACCATTCGATGCCGACAGTCTTCAACGACGCTTCCACGAACTTTTCCGGGGACGGGGCCATCCATGTTGCTTTTCTGAAAGTAGGCTGTAGTTAGACGAGTTGCTTGACGAAGTGTACGGAATGATTCGCATAAACCTACTCTAATCAAAATTTAGCATAAGAGGCTATTATCGTGCATGCGAAGAGAGAAAAGAATTTTTATTTGATGTAACGCGTAACAGTAGACGTGTTAGACTAACGAAAACGAATTTTATTGTTTAGTTTTAGTCATGTCTGTTATTGTTGTAGCCACGTCAACTAAAACCAAACGCTTCCTATCGAAAGAAGCAACATGCTAGACGTTTGAATTTTCTCATCACCGTGCTTCACGAATAATTATAATTATAATTCAATAGTTGGCTACAAATCCATACTTTAATAATCTGTTTCATTCCTTGCTTTCGTTGGAAAAAGAGGACAAGTATCGTCGATGAAAAGAAATGATTAAAAGTAAACAATAAAAATTGTGTTTGTTAGTCGATGTCTACTATTATGTATGAAAACATTGACATTCTTCGATCATTGGTTAGGTGAAATAAAAATTCTTCGACAACCCTCCTTAATTCGTGTCTAATTGAGCTACGTCTTTCGCGCCCGGACAGGAAATGGATCTAATTGAATACACGATACAGTAAACTACGAACGTCAACCACGATTCGGTAACACGACCCCCTGCGGATTATGCGAGTCACTCGTGGTTAGATGACGCAGGTGTTAATATCCATAAGTCCTCGTCGGCGAGCAGCGTAAGATATGCAAAACGAACGGAAGTGGACCGATTGAAAGTCAATCGGGTCGCTTACTTGATCTTTGACATCTTCGTTGCCACTGGGCCAGGTATCACGCATTGAACGGTGACACCGTTGCGGGCAGCTTCTGCGGCCAAATCGTAACTGAATTTTACCACGTACTCTTTACTCGCCGCGTAAACTGTCAAGTAAGGGCTTGGTATCACTGCCAACGCCGAACTTATGTTTATGAGGACTCCTTTCCTGCGCTCGAACATTTTCGGAAGTACCGCTCTCGCGACTCCCGTCGTAGCCGACACGTTCAACTTTACGATTTTCTCTATACTCTCCTCGGTGTTGCTCGTGAATAAATCAGGATGCTCGCTACTCGCCCCGGCATTGTTGATTAACACCGCGACCTGCAGAAAATGATGGATTAGATGATTTAACGCCAGGTTCACGGAAGATTTCTTATTATTAACCCTTTGCACTCGAGGCCTTTTCTTAGTATCTACCTTTTTTTAGTATCAGCAACTCGAGATGCATCCTTAGCATTCTATTGCCACGAATGCTAAGCTATCGAGATTTGACGATCAGGTCAACCTTTACCGCACCGACAATCATTTTAGTGACATTTCGAGTTCCAAAGAAATTAAACGTAACGATGACTGAGAGTCACCTCTCGACTGCAAAGGGTTAACCCTTTGACGGCGAACTTTCGGGTAGGGATGCATTTTTTGTGAAAATATGTTTTGTAGACAAAAAATATATATATACACGTCGAATTGAGTAACCTACTCCCTTTCGAAGTCGGTTAATAATCAAAACACTGAATTTCACTACATCGAAACAATATTATTTATATCTTTGAACCGAGTTAGTATAAATATTACGAATTTAATATTAACGTGGAGTTTTTCACGAGACGTGTCGCAAAACTTTTAAGCGACTATAGGCGCCCGCAGTCGCCAAAGGATTAATGAGATGTAATTACAATTAATCGAAACGAATAGTAGAGACAACTGACTGAAATAATTTATCTCCGAGCGGTATTTCAAAAACAATGATCGATTCGCGTAAGAAATTCCCGAGAGCATTTCTGAAACAAATGTAGGTTACGAGATCTGCATATGCCACTTGTTTGTACATTCGAGTTAGAACAAGTGCACAACTAGTGTAGTTCGTAACATCAGTTTGTTCGAGTAATGTGTAACGAGTAGATACGAAGTGTCATATTGGCACGATAAATAATTTCTTAGATTAGCTCAATATCTTTCTCTTCAATATCGATATCTGGAATAATCAGTTTTTTATGACAGAATTTGACAGAGTATGGAATTCTAATTGAAAGTATCAAGATATCTTAAAATTCTGTCGTTAGTGTTGCACTATTCGATCTTAATTGATCGTTGACCCTGAGTAACCTTGAACTTTGTATCAATCACAAAACATGTTCTTTTAGTAGAATGTTAGAACGTTTTTTAACGATAGAATATATGCTCGTCAAAAGTTAATTAACAATTACAATCTTTTTCACCATTCTTACATACAGCCAGCCCTATAATTATTCGTACTCTCTATGTCTCTAAGCTCTAAATTCAATAATATTTCAGCTCTAATATTTTAGCTCTAATATTTCCAAGTAAATACTTCATTATAAATATATACACTACAATAAAACAATATATAGCTATCATTTAATTTAGACTAATTTCTTCGACACACATAGATGATACGAATGCTCATAGAACTAACCCATGGCCCCCAAAAAATTGAACTTTGTCCATCTCTAATCATAACTCATCATCGTTATTATCATAAATGGCAGCGTACCTCGAGTTCCTCGGTGGCTTTAGCGATCTTCGCGAAGACAGGCTGTCCATCCATCAAATCTGCCTCCACGATACGAACTTCGACGCCGTATCGTTGCTTGATCTCCGCCGCGACTTCCTCGAGTGCCGACAGAGATCTAGAGACCAGGACGATGTCCAGACCCTTAGCCGCGAGTTGCTCGGCATAGGCTTTTCCGATTCCACTTGTGGAACCGGTGATCACTGCCCACTTGCCCTGCTTGGTCAGATCGATTCCGAAACCGAAATTGGGCGCGATCAGCTTCTTCCATACCAACAGGCTAAGTTTCAGTAGGACCCTCAGCCCAATCACTACCAACACAGCCAGGGATAAGACTTCCCAGCACGTGAACGTCATCCTGAAACGATACGAAAGAGTCAGCGATCGCGTCTAAAACGATCGACTTGCTCGACTAGCCGCGCGCTCTTATCAGAGTCTTCTAATTCGTTCACGCTCGTACGCTGACCGAACGCGTGGTTCCCACGTCGCTTCCTACTTTGCCTCGTTTCTCCCCGCAGTTCGCCAACACGCCGATAAGCCAATCGAATATAGCTAGTCATTGCTCGCTACTTTACTCGGGGTCACGATACTCCACTTTGTTACGCCGGTACGCGTAAATACAGAAGCGTGTAGAGGCATAAAAAAACTATTTCTTCGAGGCCAAATTATCGTTTTGTGTCCGTGTCAACGGGTGGACCAAATTGCTGGATAAAGTAAATTACTATTGAATGAAACGTAACAAGGCGATGCGTTGCGATTTTATAACGTAATGATTTGATTTAAAGCTCCAGAATAATTTCATAGTTTCGTAATAGAACAGCGCAACAATTTAACGCAAATGTTGACCATGTAGTTGAACTACGAGCCTACCGATATTGACGTTAATACTACTCAAAGATTATCGCAGAAAAATTTCGAGACTTCCGTCCTTTACTGAAAAATGGGAGATAGTACCACGTTTACTCGCACCGTGCATCGGATAAACTTCGTTGAAATAGATTAGCACGAAAGAAGCAGACAGCCAATTCGTGAAATATTTACGTTCATAAAATAAACTTTCGTATTTATCACGCGACAAAATTCCTGTTCACCGAGTCGGTTAAATTTCGCGACTTCGACGAGAATTATTCGTGACATTGAAGAAAGTGTTACCGCGTGTCAGCGCTGTCGGCGTTGTATTCAAATTGCCTCGCGTAATACGAAGATAAGATACGCGTTTTACGCTGAAGTAATCCCTTCGAGAGGTTACGAACCATCGAAACAGATCTATCGTATGGTCGAGTTAACCCATTCGCAGCTGCTGGAACACGTATGTTCCCCTAATTGTCTCTTCAAACAGCCCCTATGTACAGTCGATAAGTATTCGTACCCTCTGTTGAAGAAATTTGTTTAATTTAAATGACAGGCTTCACACATTTATATATTTGCAATTAGAAATTTATTTAGAGACATGAAGCATTCGTGGGTCGCGACCCCGAATGGGGTCGCTTAGTGAAATCTTAGGGTCGCGAGACTTTAATGTTAAATTTTTAATATTCTCTCTTCTTTATGTTATTGCAAAAAAATGCAGTTTTGATGAAAAATGAGGTATATAATTTTTGTAACTATAACAAATACAATTTTACAACTTTTCTTGTATGTTTTCAAACAAATTCTACAACTATATTTCTTCATACTCGTACATATCGTTACCTGATCAATAAATCATCACAAAATATTTACATATCTTTATTTTATACTTTATAGGTTGCGATTAAAAGTCGCGATCATAAATGAGGTCACGAGTGAAAAAAGTTCAAGAAGCCCTGATTTAAATTAAACAAATTCCTTCAACAAATACAGAGGAATACTTTATAGGACTGGCTGTAGTTTACAATCTTTCCGTGTCTTTTACATGAGGCCAACCCCATAAGTACTATATCGTTTTCGTAAGAAATTATCACGATACGTTTACCATATCGACCACAAATGTATCGACCAACACTTTCTACGACCTTTCACCATCCTTTTTTTCAAAATAACCCTTCTATACAATCTTCGTTACCTAAGTTTCTACACTCACCGGAAGCTCTGTTAATGGCGAAACAAAAGTCGCTGCGAAAGGGTTAACGTACTCGCGCGCGGCCCGATATTCTCGACGCCGTTGGCTCACCTGTGCTCAATTCTGGGGAGGTCTGGGTTTCGTCCCTCGGTCTCACGTGCTTATCCTCGGCGAAATAGACCCGCTGGCGTATCCGCGGGACGATTGCACTCATGAAAAGCTCGGCGAGGATGCGTAGTGAAAAGGAAGAGTCGATGCACACGCGGCGGCGGTCGCACGCGAACGAGTACCGTCCCCCGTCGAATTTCGGCAGCCGAGGGAGAAAAGTGAAACGTTTGGACGAGTTATCCGTGGGCGAACGACACGAAATACGCGGGGAAAGAGAAAGCAGCGAGAGTCGGGCGAAACGAGACGGGAAGCTCGAAGCTGACACGAGCGAGGAAGACGATGCTGAAGTAGCCGGGTCGATGCCGACAACCGTGCCGGAGTTTGCGCGGTCGCAGACCTCTGTCGAGGATGCGGATGAGGATTCACGCGATCGCGAACGTGGTGCGTTGAACGCGGCTGCGGGCGCGGGCAATGTCAGGGCTAGGCTATCCCTGAAGAAGAAAGTCGACGCTTCTACCTTTCTTTCGGCCGGAGTGGGGAACGGTGGACTTTTTCTTTGACACACTTTACGATTCACGTGTAACCGGTGCCGCTTCGAAAAAGTGGACTGCAGGCTTCGCGTTTCTCTCTGATCGGCCTCGATTGCTCCAACTCTTCCACGAATATCTTAGGCTCGTTCGTACGAAATTGCGTTTGTACAAACGACGCTTTAACACTTTCGGTGGCAGGTTTACTCGTGAAGATGGTTATGGAACTAAAACTTTGTCCTTATGCAGTTGAAAAATACAGTCCCTGGCCAACGAATTAGGACCACTATAAATTTTAAGCATTTTTCGTGTTTTCCGTAAAATTTAAAGGGTTGTTGAAATTGTACTGATGTAATTTATTAACTAAGTAACATAATACGCTACTACTGTACATAATATTGTTAATATCTTGTGTTTCCATCCTTTGCATTAATGACAGCTTTTATCCTTTACGACACGCTCCATATACATCGTTTGATCATGTGCTTTACATCTCCATCATTTTCCCAAATATCTGTAATTTTTGTTTTCAATCGTGACAATGTGGTGCTTGGAGATTCATAAACTTTTCTTTTAAGAAGGCTCCAGACATTTTCTATAAACGCTCGTCACTCATACAATTTGATTATTATCACGATAATAACAAATCACGGTGGCAAATTGCACACCAAGCATCAAATAAATCAAATGAATTAAGTGTCGCGGTTAAATCACGCGACGACGCGCCTTTATAAACGAAACTCGCTCTTTCACTAAAAAAATGATTAAGCCTCTCGCAGTGTCTCTCGTTTTATACTAGTGACGTCTAGTCGTAATCAAGAGAAACATGAATATCGGAAAACCTTGTATTCAGAGATACATCTGAGACACAGACAACTGATATTCATCATTTTTATATTTCAAGATTAAAAACACCTCTACTTCGATATTCTTTAATTACGAAAAGAGAACTTCTGCACGATATAAAAATAAAATCTTCTTGAAATCGCTTTACGTGCCATTCAGCGAATATGCCAATATCGATAGTGCTTCCGATTACGTGATTCAATTCTTTGCCCCCTCACGTAGAATTTATTTTTTCCGGAAAGTTTTTGTTTTTGCTGTTTATGCGTTTTTAACGCGCGCGTCCTCCACTCGCATGTTTAATCGTTTCGAAGCTTCCCGCGTGATACCTACTGTCAATATTGCACAACGTAAGCAGTCCGTGCAGCACATAAGTGTACCTGCTCGACGAATAAATTATCATGATCGCTTTGTCGGGTATTTTCCATATTTGACGCCTCGCGAGTTAAAGTAAACTAGCTTTTACGTATTCGATAATTCAACTGCAGATTAATCATCGTTTTATTACGATGCCTTATGCCAACGCGAACAACGAGATACGGCACGTAACGAGATTTGTCATGTTAATTCTTAATCAAAGTTACGCGCATCCAACGAATTTTCCGAACAACTTTTTCTTTAAACGAACGCTTATTTAGAGGAACGTTTTCGTTCTAGTTCTTCGTGGAGAATCGTTCTATTTGCGTTCGTAACTGTTTTCATGCATGGGAGGACAAGTGTATTGTTGCATGACAAAAAGATTGCCACGTCGAGTATGACTAGTCAAGTGAAACGATCTCTGCGTATTCATTACAAGAAATTTATAATTTAATAAACAGTTGGCCTACTTGCCAATCCGTAAATTACTTGGAAGTCTTTTAAATATTTATGAAATTCGTTGTTTGTTTCGAAAATGCTTAACTTAGTTAAAATGCATTTTTGGAATATCAAGGAAATCTTTCGTGAACCCATAAATTCGTCTATTTATTTATACAATATGTTCGAAACTTGTCCGAAGTTTCAAGAGTCATCGAGACTTCGAGAACGACCAAGACACCGAAGATCAATCGAGACTTCAAAATTGATCAAAACTTCGCGTTCTACCGAAACTTTAAATCCTATCAAAACTTCAAGACCAACCGGAAGCTTTAAGACCAATCAAGACCTTCTTGTCGCGAATAACGTTCGAGGTGGCTCGATCCTCTCATGAGTCCTCAATTTGAAATTATAGTGACGAGAATCTACGATAAAAATCTCAAATTTTAATAGACACCTGAAATTTTGTCGAGTCCTACTGCAGTAAATATAGTTTAGATGGATAGGCACTTGTTCAACATTTAACTCGACGCTTAGCATCGATACTTGTTCATTAAGTTTAAATACAAATATTTTATCAAGTATTACGAGAAGACAAGTCTTCTTTCGTAATTAGAAAATGTGGCTTTGAATTCATCGCAGACGTTCCCTCGAGACAAATTTATCGTATATATTTTTTTAACAACACTAGTACACCTCAGAATTTGTATCTTCTCATTCGAAACCATTTGCACTTAAATCAGTATTTGTGAGATTGAGAACGGTATAGATACGATTCCAATGTTATGGTTATACTGGTGGTTCGGTATTTGTGCGCGATAATTCGTGATTAACGAGCAAATTGTGCTTACCTGAATGATTACAATTGAACTATGAACGACGTACAAACTCTTGGCGCGTTAAAAGGAAGCATAGAACAAGGACAGGCGTAACAACGAGTGAAGAAAAGATTTTTTTTTCAATTTGCACCAGTATTTATAATTTTGCGACTTGGTAGTGGGACGAGCTGGTCTCGCGGTGAGGGAGTCAAACAATGAGGTGGTAACAATTATTCGCAGCCGATAGTTGGTCTTCAAATACGAATTCGTTGGCAGCTAGTTGACTTGGAAAAAAATTGTGTGGACGGATGGAGGTTACGAGAACGTAACACTTTGTACGAAAGTGGGATAAAATCTGTGATCGAAGAACTCGCATTCTTCAGCAAATTGAGATCATTCAATCGTAAAAAAAAGTCTTCGATCTCTGAGAAACTACAATAGTCTAATATTTCGTATATTACAACGAAGTATATTACAACTAAACACATACATGTACGTACATGCAATTGAACATAAACGCTAGACTGGGAATGTTTGTGAATTTATGGCAGGTGAAAATACGAGGAAATCTTTGAGAAGATAAACAAAATATATGAAATATGAATTATTGGGTAATGTGCATGTGATACCGCTTAGAAAATAAAATACTTTCATTTAAATTTCAATTTCTGTAGCTGTGAAAATATGAATTTGCATAAACATTCACAGTCTAGTAATCACTATCGAGGATGAAAATAACATACGCCTCTTATAGCGACTCTACATACGTGCCGATCGTGACAAAAAAGTGTAGCATATTCCGTGATGAATGTTTAAAGCATAATGTTCATGCAAATATTTGAGAAACGCGTTCACGCGTGTATCATTAGAATAAACGCGGTTCGTTTGGTTTTTACATACATAGTTTTCTCAGCTGCAATCGTTATTTGCTATTTGGCTTTTGAACAGCTATGATCTAAAGTTCTCCTCGGAAAATGGAAATATCGTTTGCGATTCGCAGGTTAATAATAAAATTTAAGAGAAAGAAGAGAAAGTCAGCATCTGAAATTAATCCTTAATCGTCCCTGCCTTCGAAAGAGACAGTACATCTTGTTAAGCCAATATTCGAAATCAAATTTAAATTATTCATAAGCAGCAATTTAGATGTAGCAGTTAAGGAAATATACATGTTATCCATGTAGTACGATATTTTAAAGTATTTCGCTTCCCTAGAAGTGGTGGAATATTATTATAAAAAATTCACGTGTATTAATGTTCGAATACATCATAATTTATATACGTATATTACTTTGTAATTTTCTAATGTAGCATACCGTCCCGCGTCACCGTTGACCGACACTATTTTTGCAGCGTAAGACATTAAATGTACAATAAAATATTAATTTGTCTTAAAAAAATCTTTCGCGACTTGCAAATAATTTCTTTGGTTGTTCACTGGGATATTCTGCCTCACTCGTCGTACTCTCCAGATAGTATTTCGTTTGATTTTTATTTACTCTTATCGTTCATAAATTCTCTTCGTGGTAAAAGGCTCATTGTCAGTTTAAAAAATAATATAAAAATAAACTTCGAACGATAACAATAAATATAAATTATAGAAACGTAATGTTACGCTTCTTTCAGAGATACGGTGAAAGATGATAGAACAAAATGAATGAGTAATGGATTACAAAACATAAAATATTGTGCATCTATTACACAGTATTATTTAAACGAAAGAAACCTCAGGCTCGATGTATGTACAACTCGAGTCTACGAAGTGCAACTATCCTTCAACTATCCTTCGTTTTAATGGTTGAATCTTATGCTTGCAGTTCTGTAGTGTTGATCACCTGTTCCGACGTAGTCGGAGTTTTTCCTTTCGTCCCTGTTTTGACGACTTGTCGACCAAGCATCATTACGACGTTACGATGCGCTTGATGCACAGTTTGCAAATGGAATCTCCTCCAAAGCAGAGCCCCGGTGTCGACGGACTTTGTCCAGTCCTTCCACTCGCCTCGTGTGATCTCCGCTCCTTTCATCTCGACGATCTTTTCAATCACTCCGCGTATCCATATATTCCAACCTATAGCCGCGTCGCTAATGCTCTCCAGCCATTTCGTCCAATCTCTGATTTCCTTCGACTCCACCACTGGCATGTACTTCTCCATGAACTCGATCTGCGATTTGCTCAGAAGAGATCTCAACCAATTAGCGATTTTCCCGCACACCACGTCCACGATGTCCTTCAGCTCCTCCGTCAAGAGGTTTGGATCCTCCAACATGACGATGTTGGTCAATTTTTCGTAGATCACGCGGTGTATTCCATTTGTTATTGGATCTTCTCCCATGTTCTCGGGAGTGTTCTCGATCATTTGATAAACGGTGTCGATAATTTTGCCGAACGTAATAAACGGAAGATCGCTTTTGAATAGATCCTCGAAGTCTTCGACAGGGACCTTGTCTTTGGGTAGATCTTCTTCTTTGATCTCCTCGACAGGCGCTTTTTCTTCTCTTTCTTTGGCTTGATCGGCTAAGGCATCGATTGGTTCTTCGACTGCTGAGTCCGCCTTTGCTGCTGCCTCTGCTTCTACTTTTGCTTTTGCTTCAGCTTCTGCTTTAGCTTTTGCTTCCTCTTCTGCATTAGCTTCAGCTTCTGCTTGAGCTTTCGCTTCCTCTTCTGCCTTAGCTTCTGCTTCTGCCTTAGCTTCAACTTCTGCTTTAGCTTCCTCTTGTGCTTTAGCTTCAGCTTCTGCTTGAGCTTCAGCTTCTGCTTTAGCTTTCGCTTCCTCTTGTGCTTTAGCTTCTGCTTCTGCCTTAGCTTCAACTTCTGCTTTAGCTTTCGCTTCCTCTTCTGCTTTAGCGTCCTCTTGTGCTTTAGCTTCTGCTTCCGCTTTCGCTTCCTCTTGTGCTTTAGCTTCTGCTTCTGCTTTAGCGTCCTCTTGTGCTTTAGCTTCTGCTTCCGCTTTCGCTTCCTCTTGTGCTTTAGCTTCAGCTTCTGCTTTAGCTTTAGCTTCCTCTTGTGCTTTAGCTTCTGCTTCTGCTTCCGCTTTTGCTTTCTCTTCTGCTTCTGCTTTAGCTTCTGCTTCAGCTTCTGCTCTCGCTTTCTCTTGTGCCTCTGCATCAGTTCCCACCTCTGCAGCTTCAACCATTGGTGTCTCCAATCCCACGTCTTGCTTTTCGGGTTCGGTCTCTGCTTCCGCTTCCACTGTTTCCACAGGCTCTGTTTCGAGGGCGACATCCTTATCCCTTTCTTCTTCTTCCACTTCCTCGTCTATCAACGCCTCAGACTCGACTATCCCCGCAGGTTCCTCTCTTCGTGGTTCACCCACATCGTCGCCGGTAACGTCCCTCATCTTGACCATTTCATCCTTTTCCCCCTCGTCTTCATCCTCCAACCAATCGTAATCTTTTCTTCGATCCTCGTCCTTATCGTCGTACTCGTCCTCGTCTTCCTCTTCCTCTTCCATCTCCATCTCCACCTTCTTCTTCTTGCATCGTTCCTCGAGCTTTTCCTTCTGAAGTTCCGCGACCTCAGACATCACTCCCGACATCCAGCAGGCTACCACGTCAGCCAAGAAACGCAACTGTTGCGATTTCCGGTCCTCTATCTGCGGAGTGTACTCGAGAACGTCGGTCAGACGTCTGACTATCACTTCCGCGACGTCGTTGAACTCTGACTTGGGAATCGGACACTTGCTCTTCAGAATGCTCTTCACGAAATGCTCAGCTATCAGATACTGGCACAATACCGCGTCTTTGTCCAACGATCCCGCGGTTGCCGGCCCTACGCTGCTTTGTTTCTTTGGTTTGCTTGGTTCTTTGAGCCGCGATTGATCCTTCTCCTTCTTCTTCTTCTTCTTCGAGGCTTTCTTTTTCCGCTGGACGACCGCTGCTTGCCTGAAACAAAGTCACACGGAAATGATTGAAAAAGAAAATTTGTTGTATTTGCAATGTTTATTGCGTTTTCGCCCTCCTTTAGAATTATGTCTATGATAGAACTAGATTTCGAAACGATTAACAAACTACGAGCGATAAGATCGATACGTTACTCTGGAGTTAAGCAAGTTTCGTCCTCCAAAGTTTTAACTAGATTGTCCAAAAGTGCCGGTGGTAATATCGCCGCGCCTTGTTGTAAAGTTATGAGCATTCGATGTCTGGTTGGTAGAGCTAATTCCTTGATTCGGGGCGATACAGGCCTCAATCTCCTGAGCACGGTCTGCTTGTGACAGTCTGGGGGGCATTTACGACTGTGAAAGAACATTTAGAGCTATAGTTACTTGATGTATTTGTAATGTAGAAGGATTATTCGAAAACAAAATGTAGAATTATCGACAGGAGCAGTGACAATTTATTACTTATTAAATAATACTTATACGGAAAGTTGATCGAGTCGAGGAGAGGTAATCGATCCTCGTACCTCTCTATTTTATCGTAACTCGATCCTAAGCGATCTAACGGGAGCACTGTATGCTATATAATATAAATATTCAAGAGCCAATTAGAATGTTACCTTGGCGTCGCCAATATATCGAGGTAATCTGACTTCGTCAAACAGTGTCTAGGAATGATGTCTTTCTTCGGGAATGTACACGGTTCCCCAAACACCGAAATCTTAGCGAATTTCGGTCCCCTCTTCTTCTTTTCCCTTCGCGTTTCGCAGCAGTCACCGTCCGACTTTGCCTTATGTCGCTGAAAACATTCATTACAAGACCATGTACATTCCTGATAGATTAATCAATTAACTCGAAGACTTTTCTACCCTTGGCACATTTTCAACGTCTATTATCGCTGAAATGGGAACAGAAAATAAAAAAGCAAGGCGAAATGGAGTAGAAATACTGAAAGGATTATATATCTTCAGTGTGCCTTTGATTTCTTCGAAGGCTTGTCGCAGTGTTCCCATCTTTTCTTCTTTTCTTGTACGCGTGGGTATCCTTCGAAGGTGTCATCCTTTTCCCCCTTCTTTATTTCACGTTCGACAGACGTAGCTCGTTTAACGTCTTCGGGAGCATCGTCGTTCTTCTCCATGATGGTATTCTTCGAATACCAACTACTTTAAGCTGTTTCGATTCCGTCTTGTGTAGTACTTATAATAGTACTTTCAAAATTCCTTTCAACGATCGCACAAAATGTTGCCGATTATCTTTCTTCGTTTTTCATCTTTCCTGGCTGAAATTTCCTTATTTTTTTATTTTTTGTTTTTTTCTTTTTCTTTTTAGGATAGAACGGATGATGGGGCCAGTGTTACTTGAAAATTTTCTTTACATTTTGCTCGAAATTGTGAATTGTGATCCCGGTGCGGGTAGTAGGTTAGAAGAATCTGTTTTGATTCTGTTCTGTTTTTTCTTGGCAGTTGAGAACAGTGTGAAATCGGCAAAAGGTAGATACGCGAACGTATCTACGTTTTTGACGTAGTGGATCGTGCGAAAGGGATACGAAAGAAAATATTGGAAAAGGAGTATTGTATTAGGTCGTCCCATAAGTTCGTGCCGAAGACTGTGTCGAAATTTAATAAAAAACCACCTAATATATGTTAAGTATTTGTACTCATTCATTGCCAGGCAAGTTTGGCGGATTTTTCCCCTGGAAGCTGCAATTTTTATACAGACGTGTAATCTAAGTGATTGGTTTGATAATAAAAAGTGACATTAATTTTGTCGTTTTTAAAAAGAATGTTACTATATAAAATGTTCGTTCTCTTGCATATAATGCTGCACATAAATATCTTATTAATTTCTTTGATATTTGTCCTAAGAGCTCAACCTAAGAGCTCAACTATTGCTCGACCTTTTTGAGAAGAAGTTACCGACCGATGGAGTCGATTGCTCCAGCGGCAGGTTGGCAAAGGTGTTCGAAGATGGCGGTACGTCCGGTATCGGTGCTCGACACCGATAGCTGCTCCGTTTACTAATCGATCATTCCGGGTGTCGGGTGTCGGGAGTCGGTGCAAGTAGGTGCAAGTAGGTGAAAGTTGGTGTGCCTATTTGAGAGGACGCATACTGTGCGAGGACACTTGGGAGTAAAAGAAGAGTTTCTAAGATATGCAGGTGTGCGAAAATAACTGTTGCTCCTGCATAAGCGGCCCGTGATACAGGTGTATTAGTGCGAGGTGCTGGCTGGCATTGTGTCGTGAAAAATGTCGAGACGCAACGACGAGTCGACGGAACGGAATCCCGTTTGAAACGTCCAACGATAGCCTTTCTTTCGCTTTGTTGCTGCACCGCGCCGAGGGGTCACGATTATGATGAGATAACGAACGCAGAATGAGATACAGCGGCAGTAACCTTCTCGGTTATGCAGTTTCCGCGTTTATTCTATTTTTTAACGGTGAGTCAAGCTCGTGTTGTCTTTGCTATCGTCCTCGTCTTTTCTATTTTTCTTTGCTAGTCTCGTCCCTCGTTCCTTGCTCGATCTCTTCGTCCTGTCCGCCAATCCTGGCGTTTCGCATCGTACGTTCGATTCGCTGTTGGCATTCCTTTAAAACTACGCGCCTAAAATTCGTTGAATCAGCGAAACCATTCTTCGTCGTTTCGAAATACGCAGCTTGCATTGTGCATCGATTGAAATTCTCGCGCGTTGCACGCTCGTATAATACCATCTACGGTTTCATTTTTTGATACGTTCGTATCGAGCGACAATTTTTAACGAAAACTCGCTAGTTGGACGGACTGATTGACGTAACGTGCATATGACGCATGTATTGTTGCCGCTCACCTGCTCGCTCGCTTGATACGATATGCGCGCGCCGCGTTTTACCAGCCGTTTTGTACGAATCGCTGTACGGATTGTAACTTCCAAACACGAGTTAGTAACCGGTTAAACGATCACGTATAACAATAAACGAGATAAAAGATAGATGAAAGAGCTACGTTAAACAAATTTTCCAAAGGTTCTCTTCGGATCTTTTCCAGTTATTCGTGCGGAAAGCGGCGTTACCTGCAAAGATCAACAAGGACGATCTTACGAAAGTGGTTCATATTACATTCCTGGTCCAGAACCTTGTACATTGTGTGTTTGCGATAATGGCAATCCAAAATGGTGCAAAGCATTCGTTTGCAAGTTTGCAGAGGTATACTAAATCCTAATGTAGTTGCGTTGCTTAAGGCATTGCATTATTCTTTTCCAATGATACGAGGCATGCAATTGAACATTCATTTTGCACTCAATAGGAAGATTGTAAATCTTCCCGTCGCGGCGATGTCTGTTGCGAGTATATTTGCTTGGACGATACACTTTCGTCTCTGTCAAACGACAAAATCGATGGGATTGGCAGCAATACAACCGATGCTACTGCAAATTATGACATAGGACTACGATCCGTCGCTAGTTTTGTGACAGCTGTGTTGTCATTGAGTCTATTGTTTTTCTTAATACATCGCTTGCGCCAAAGAAAGATACGAGGTATTTTATCTTTCACAAAGTACTTTATTAACATTTGTTTGTTTCTTATGACCTTACAACAAAAATGTTGATTTTCTTGTAATAGTTTGCGTGGCAGGAAGACAGAACAGACAGTTGGCAGAGGACCAAAGAAATTTAGGTAGTATGGGATACTTAGAACGAGATGGATTGTCGCACGGTGTTCCTATGGATGACATTCCATGCGGAGCTAGTTATCCATTGTGGAAACCACCCAGCAACTACTTTCCACGTGGGGAGGCTCCGCCACCTTATGAGGAAGCCGTGGCAGCAGCTAGAGCTGAGCAAGCTCTTCTATCGATGAACCCTCAAGCGCTTCCTCAACTAAATTTTCCAAACAGCTATCTGACAAGTGCCAATAGTCGTACTAGCGTATCGCTAGTAGGAAGCACGCAAAGTGGGATAAATGGAAATCCATCGACGCTGATATGCGACAGTGGGATAGCAGATTCGAGCGGCTTAATGTCGACGCCGAGTAGACCAATTTCAAATCCAAATATATATGCTAGTTATCGTCAGTCGAATCAAAACGAAACGCTATCTCCAGGCGTTAGCGTAGGAACTTCTACTACGAGTTTTACTATGGGGACAAGTACTTACGAGAATTTACCTACTCCAATTGGAATCCCAAACTTTGCTAGCCAGCATCCGGATGTAACTGTGCAACCTGTGTCTAATTTACAATCCGCTATTCCAAAAAATTATCAAACGCATACCACTCTCCCTCGTCAATCTGGAGCGTTTACAATATCCGCGACCTTGTCCAATTCTAATGTGACTGCCCATCGAACAATTCCTAGGACATTGACTACTCGTACTGGTACGAGACTACGAGATATTATAAGCGATTGCTCCAAGAATGAATTTCTACGACCCTCGCCAACCAATGTTGCCTCGCCAAATTTGCAACATTCTGTACAGCAAAACGCTTTAATCAATCAAGAAAATACAAGGGAGGATACAAATTCAAATACATTTTACGAAGATGTACAAATACAACCTTCCACAGCTTCTTCTTCGTCGGGATTACAACAAATGGAAAGGCAGAAGTTAGATCATAAATCGGAAAAATCCAATGATTTTAAGGTACGGAATGAGACTTATATACAAATACATATACGTAGTACCTGTGACGCGTATACGCAATCTTTGAAGTATGCGTTACATAATTTTTATATGTTTCAGCCGTCGTTAAACATAGCAAATGAAATTAACGAAGAAGGAAGTTTCGAATCGGTAGCTTGCACTTGCAGTATGCAAGCTCTTCCTACTCTTCACGATGATACCGATGATTATAGGAGCGAATGCGAAAATTGCAAAAGCGCGACAGGTTCTCGTTACTATCTGGATAACGAGGATGAATTAGTTACTTCTCCACATGAAACTATGACGTTACATAGAAGACCGGACGAAACAGCTTCCAGTACTACACCTCAGTATTACAGAACTTCGCTTACACTGCCCATAAGTACTCGTCAACGAACAAGGTAATTGCAAAACTAGATCGTGCTTTTTATTTTTATTATCGCATCGCTTTACAACGTAACAACTTATGTTTAGGAGTACCGGAGTTCGAGAAAATTGGTTTAACACCATGCCACAAAGTTCAACAGAATCGTCGGACGAAAATTAATCGCGAGAATATAACGTATAATTCTCACACATCATATAGCTATTAAGATGATCTATGATGCATTACCATTGACAAAATTCAATATTACGGTAGATGGACGATGTTCACGTTTTATTGCGTTGCGGGCAACAATGTCATATTGTTATTGATAGAATTTCGGTATCACTGAAATATGTTTCCTATCTCGTTCACTGTCAAATCTAAACTGTTCATGTAATTCATGTATTCGGACAGTCCACGATCTACGATGAAGACGAGTCACATTTTTGCTTTCACAGTTCTTTACACGTTATTATACTGTGGGAGCAAATTTTAGATATACCTATTGTAGCATCACGACTTACAAATTCTATTAGGTTCGAATTAACGAATGCTGAAAAACAAAATAGCTTCATAGCATCTCTAGGATTTTTTTAAACTATGTTTGGTGCATATCATTTGTTACAAATTAATCGAGAAGAATGAAAACTCAATTTTTATCGCTTTATCTCCATTGGAATCGAATATTAAACTTCATTATTCTTGTGGTCATGAAAAATACGCATAAATTTATAGCAACTGGATAATACAATAACGTGTAAAGAGCAGATTGGTTCACACTATACGTACTATTACACACAACTAGTACATTAACATTCTATTAGCTCGTACATATTATCGTCGATAGTGAAAGATTGAATATAATATACGAAGTGAAACTTTGCACATAAATCAGTGCTGACTTAATAATTCATCATGTCATTACATTTACAACAATTTTAGTACTTAAATGACATTTAATTTTTGTATACCATTGAATACTTCTACTGTACTTTATTAAGTAATATTTACCATAATATTTTATGGTATAACGTTTTAAATGAATTAACAATGTTATTCGCAATTTTCCATCCTATTCTAATTTTTTCTTATAAAAAACTTAAGACTGTATTTTTACTGTCACATCCAAATAGTGAGATGCGTGCATTCTAAAGTCTTTTGAAAATACATATCAGTGAAAATCGTAAGGTCATGTTAAACAACCGAGAAATGACCATTTTTTATTGCTATCAAGTTATGTTATCAATTTTGTTATTTTTAACTTTGTGTTTATAATGCAGACCTCGATACGCTGTGTAGTAACAATATCTTTGTGATCCACCTGTTTAAATAACTCCGTTGGTTCGAATAGTGTGAATCAGCCTTGTGCGTGTTGTATACACACATGTTTCTTACCTCTGGCAAAATTATTCGTTTCCATTATATTCATGTGTGTGTGTATATGTGTGTACGGAATCTGCGAGTGCATGTACGCACAAACACATATATCGTCTTTAAACATAAATTAATACTCAGGAAAATTATACCTTTCACTTTCTGTGTGAAATACTCCTTTCGTGATGTATTTTTTCTTGAATTTTTTATGAAAAAAAAAAGAAGTGAATGTAGTCATCCGTATTCTATCATAAACGGTTTGATCGCATGATATATCGCGAAAATTTTCACTGACTGATTTTAACCTGATATAAAAGTAACAATTTTTATGTCTATACAATTGTATTCCGTACAGTATTAAGAAAAATTACATTCGTTTGGAACTGCTTGTTGTAATAATACATACTTTTATTATACAATATAGAAGCACAGTGAATGGAACTCTAATTATCTGCGATTGATAATTAGCGAATTTTAAAATGTATCAAACATGAAAATACGATGATTTCTTACAGCGCGTAACGTTCAATAATTTCAATGTCTGGTTATCGATAGAAACTAAGAATTCGACTGACTACTCAACAGCACCGAAATGTCCTCATTTGTGGATCGAGTGAAACTTACGTGCTAACAAAGAATACGAGAAATACGATTTCGTTTTTAATTGCATTTATTTAAATTTTTACACGACACACAAAATTGTCTTTCTTGGCTGCCATGACAAACATTGTAGCGGTTAATAAGCGCTAGAACGTGTAATTGTTAATAATATACTAAATTGTGATTACCAAATTGGTCCCCATTTTGATGTCATTATGACAAATATTGCTGCTTTCATACATACCGATTTTCTTATTTACACTAATCACAGTATAAATTTTGGTTACATCCTTTCAAGAGTTCTCCACCTGATATAAAATTATAAAATAAGAAACGTTTATGGGTTGCCTAGTACATTGCAATGGAAGTATAATTGCCTGTAAACTATAGTTACCTTACTCAAGTATTTGTAAAAGTATAGGTATTTATTTCTTCTTGTAAAGATTGTATATTACTTTAAACTTATTTTTCATATGCCTCAAAATGCTCTAGACATTATACTCGATATTTCTATTGATTTTGTATATACATAAGATTCCTTGATGATTCAATTGTTTTCAGTTAATGTGATTTAAGTTGGCTGAACAAGTATTTCATTAATACATAATCAAGTACATGATCAACAGGTCATTAATGTGATATGTTTATCATAGCAAGAATTGTGAACCACAATTAATTACAAACACCATGGACTTACTACACAGTGAATCTGCATTATCGTGTAACACGTAAATATATTGCATTTATTGGTCAAGTTTAAGGTTACATTATATGTTAAACAGGTTCGACATAACAAAACTGTTTGTGATTTTATACAATCAACTTCATATTTTTAATTATTTTAGTCATTATTATCACTTTTAAAGAACAGAGCTGAAAAATATTCTAAAATTAATCATTGTGTGATTCTTTTTAATGTGGGTATGTATACAGGGTAAATCACTTAATATGTACTGAATTTATTGCGTTACAATCGTTGATGATACGAAACAATATACATACAAAGAAACTGATCTGTTTAAGTAGGGGAACAGTTGAAGATCATTTATATAAGTCTTCGTTTATGGAATTTATTAGGTCAATCAGACTGCATGTTGTATAATTCTATTAAGAAATTGAGAAATAAAGTATATTTATCATCGCGTTAAAGAGTCAGAGAACATAACTTTACTAAACAAAATTTTAATGACCACAGCATACTTCGAACAACACTACTTATAAATTTCTGTTTATAAAACTGATTATACTCCTCTCAAAATAATTCGTCTCGAATTTTAATTTATTTTCGATTTAACTTTCCAAGGTAAATTCATTTACAGATTAAAATTGGTTTCCCTGTATATGTATAGGTATGTATGTATATAGGGTATTTCACAGAAATGTCATCAGGCTTCAAGAGTGTATTCTACTCATCACAAGGATGCAAAAAGGTCATACGAACGTGAATCCGAAAATGCCATTTTTCCAACTATAAACATTTTGTTTATAACAGAGTTTGGCGAGAACGCATCATTAAACAAAATTTATGACGAGTCTATAAATAAAAATTTATCGATTTCAATTCTCAGCCGACTCATTTGACTACGCGTACTATTATTATTTACAAGCAATTACTACAAAACTCTGTTGAAAACAAAAGGTATTTATAACTGAAGAAAAAGGTGCGTAGAATACGCGACTAAAGTTTGGTCATTTATTTCTGAATCGTTATTTCTATATCGTTAACTTATTATTTATTGATTTCTTATCTCATGTCCGAGGTATCGAAGCGAGCTTTATTTTTTCAATGATACTGCATTTTTTAGTATATGCTATAAGCAATAACAAAATGATTTCAGAGTAGGGCTCTTTTAAATTATTAAAAATTATTGTTTTTCATACGAAACCATCTGGCATTGATTTTCAACTAAGTTTGCGTTGAAATAAGGACAGAGATCCAAAGATAAAATATTATAAAAAGTATAGCAACGTGATACAGCCAGAAAAACGGCATGCCACAAATAATAAGAGTTACAAGAAACGACACTGATAACATTTTGTTTTAAGAAGACGAGCGACAAACGTATCGGAAGCGATAAGTCCGTGTACTTACAAATGTAAGCGGATTCTGACGAAAATTGGAATCGCTTCCTATTATAGTCGACACATTTCGTGTGTTCAATAAACTCGACTATATTCCATTTTTGAAAGAAATGTGTTCATTATATAATAAATCTCTTTCTATATGGATAAAATCGTTCGGCGAGGAAGGGTACAAGCTTGACGTGAAATGAATTTGAGAAAACGTTTAAAATTCTCGTAGTTCAAACGGTACAAAAACTTGAATTACCTAACTGTTCGTCTAGTAATTTAAAGCATTGTAATATATTTATCCGAGTACGTAGTTTTAGAAGGGATCACTATTACGCTTACTCGAGTAAGCGAAATATTATGAATTAATATAAGTTATATTAGGAAATTTATGTCGGCAGTCTATCATTTGATTGTAATAAACCAATAATTTACATATGAGCTGGTCAGTCGCCTAATTTCTCTATCCTTTTGTTCTCTAAACAAAATTAATGTTCACGTACTTTGTACCTGACGTCAAACTTTTGTTTTATACAAAGGCGATATCTACGTTTGAAATATAACACATATTTCTTTTTATTACTATCAGATAGAAATAACAAGTACGGAGTGTAATTAGAAGATCGGACTTGACTTGATAAAATATGAAACTGTAGTATAAAGCATGATTGCAAAGTTAGGGACACATTTGTCCTGTACATATAAAAGTATATGTAAAAACTACCGCAATGAACGTATTAATTTATAAACGCCTACAGAAACTAAGGAAGTGTTATTACAGGAGATCATATAGAACACGTGGTCGGTTTATGTATACATGTATAGATACGTACTCGCAGATGAGACATGCGTCTCAATTCCTAGTTATACCACGTGTCGTAACACGCGTGCGCACAAAGTAAAGCTAAAATCGCATATAAATAGCACATTATACGCACATTATATATGCAAACAGGATAATTTACTTATGTGTCATCGTGTAGAAGTGCAATACAGTATAATTTCGATACATCGCAAATCGCAAATTTTCATTTTACTTCGAGACGCGTATCTTTTTCATTATAATATGTAAATTTCACGTTGATAACACTTAATTACCTTCCTTTATTATTATTGGTTCAATTAAATCGGGAATATTTTCTTTGAAAAAAAAAAACAAGAGTTGTGTCCAACTTTTAATATGGACGTATGAGGCGCGCGCGTGAGCATGTAATCTAACCTATAGAAGATGCTTTTCATCAAGATATATTTGGAGTTTACACACGATATGCACATACGTGACAATCGATAAAGCGATCAACTCTACGGATTCGATACTTTCAATATTATGGAAAATAAAAGACTTTCAGTTTGCTTAAAAGGAAAAAGTATTTATGTTTGTTGATTTAACAGTTGCTAGTTGAAAGTTTTTTTACCTGGAAAGTGATCTAGTGAATGTCCATCAGACAACGAGAAGTAAAGGTCGAATAGGTAACGTATGGCTAATTAAGGAAGTAATTCAATGTCCGACAGAAAGCAAGAAAATGTGGAAAATAATATCGAATAATTTTGTAATTGAAAACAATAACAAGGCGTTGATGCGCAATCGACTGATTTAATCGGACGCCATCTCGTGCTACGCAAAGGTATCACCTAAAATCAGTAGTTTTCCAGTTCAGATTCGACATAAACGCAATCAACTACACGAAGAGTTCTGACGGATTACAACCCAACCACGATAGTCAGAAATAGGCAAGAGGAGCAAGGAGGGCACGTAAAACATGGCGGAAGCCGTTGTGGACGGGACTCCAATGTCCCGATTTTTTTGTCATAAATGCAGCATCGAAATTGAAGTTTTACTACCTGTAAGTATACTTGCATACTTTTTCTCTTAGTAATCGCCAATTTAATATAATCCTCTGCCTGATATCTCGAACCTTTTATTTCGATCTGTCATTCGATATCACGCGTATAACTTTTTTTCTTGCTTCCCGTTCCGGGGTGAGAACGTGTTATTATTTTCAAATAATTCGATGAATTCTTAATTTACATGACGCATTGTTATAATTGATCGACGCTTGTACATTGTAAATATAACACGTCCTTTGCGTGATATTTATATACGTCAAAATTCGTTTTATTTGAACGGACTTTATTTCCTAGCTACTCGAAAACTTCTCAAGCCTACGATTAATTCCGACAGTATTTTCGATCACTTGTTTCTTCAAAATAATTGCTAACGTTGTACTAAGCATTTACCATTATTAGGGAATGTATGAAAGAGTATATAAATAAATAATTGATATATATAGATGATTTAAGTCTGTAAATATGTTTCATCTTGACAGATGTATACATAGCATAAAATATCTTATATGTATCATTTCCTTGACAATATATTTTTTTTTTTATGTGCACATTATAAACTTCAACGTAAACCAATTTAGTTCATCCGTAATGTTTACCTTGTTATTGTACCGTTTAATACTTTTCCAGGATTATACATGTCCAAGATGTACAAGTGGTTTCATAGAAAAATTAGAAAGCGGTAGCAATGATAGTAGCTCAGGAATGGATATTAGCAGTGAAGAGTCAAGTGACCATGAGGAAACGACACGTGATGTGAGTGAATTTGCTTTTTATATTCTATGTCTTGTTCCTAATTTCAGTCTAATCTTTTTTATACAGCTTACACGTATCATAACGGATAGGATGTTTGGTGTACCTGATCCAAGACCTCCTACTGGTTGGAGACGAGTTAATTGGACCCAAACTACATCAGATTCACGTCGTTCCAACAGGTATGTTATTCTTATTTCTATGAAAGTTCTGAATATATACAAATTTTAGTTTGCAAATTTAAACTGAAATATGCATATATTTAATTGTAATGAAGATATTTGAATCGAGTTTAGTTGCATGCATGAGTGGCATACCAAAATTAACCCAAGAGATCTCATGTTTTTCAACTAATGTTTTAGCTTGAATTTATTTGAGAATAATATTAATACGTATGTAACTATGTAATGTTACATAGTTGTGTACTAGTAACGTGTTAAGTGATGAATTATAAAATATGATAAAATTGTCTGTGCAATTGATTAATTCTTCCTGCATTGAACAGTGGTCGAGGAATGCAAGATGGAACCTTGTCTGTACAGAACTTTATACAAGATTTGTTACTTAATCTCTCAGGAGCGGGTGTAGGTCATCCAATAACACAAGATGGACAACCACCTGTGTATGTAAAACATTAAATTTCTATTATGTGCTTGTTATGACTTGTACAATTTGTGTGTGCACAAATGTATATTGCATATCGTGAAATACGTCGAATATATTTGAATAGAACTAATAAGCTAGTTGTAGTCATATTTTGTGTAGTTCTCTGCTTTCTGCATGTTATCTATTTACAACATTATCCTGAGTGAATTTAAGAGCAATTTTCAATTCGTATTCTGAATGCATCTAAAACTTCATTGTTCGTCATATAAAACGCGATTTTACGTTATTCTTAAACGGAAAGTATTACAATTTTGGTAGCATCTGATTTCTTGTCTATTTCATATTGTTTATTTCCTTGTTACATAAGAAAACAATGCATAATGTGTATTTCTTTAGTATTTCTTTATTGATATTACAATGACGTGACACAGTACATAATCTGTGGTGTCTTGTCCATATTACTCAAGGGTACCTGAAGCAATAGAGACTAAGATTGGTGATACATAGTCTACTAATCAGAAGTTGGAATGTGCTTACACCTCTGTGTAATATGGATAGAGTCGTTTAAAGTGAGTGTATAAACTGCAGAGCAGAGATGCCAAGAGTACCCTCCACTTTTCTCCACACGAGTCTTAAGCCTAGTACTCGCGAGAGCATTTTTCGACGCAAGAATACTCTCGTGCCCGTATAATATAAATAGAATAAAAAAATATGGATTTATGATAAAAAAAAGACAAAACGTCCTTGAAATAACGTTGAAAACGCCCACAGATTGAAAAACTAGTATTGCAATCTGACTCCCCACTCGAAGTACTAAAGGACATAGAACATACATCGGTTCAGTGGTTTATTTTCTTTTAAATCGTGTCTTCGAGATTTTGTATAATCTTAACTTAAATGGGACACCCTGTATATCGAAAAATATCCGTGTGCCGAAAAAAATTCTCGTAAGTATGAGGCTTTAAGATAAATGAATGATGCGCATGCTCGGTGTTCGAAGCGCCAGTAAAATATCTAATACATTCGTGAAACTGATGTCCTTAGTTCCCAAGAAAAAAAAAAAAAAAAAATAGAATTATACAAGAAAATTAGATAGATGCTCTCTGCAGGACTTGTGGGGCCCCCAAGCTGCTACCGAGCGAGTCCGTACAATCGTACATTAACAAGACCCTGGTCCTGCAAGCATGTAACGTCTTCCTGTCTTCCTCGTACATCATACAGTATATCTATACGTGCGCAAACGAGTTGCATAGTGTCATCTCCTTTCAATCTCCGGATTTCGACCGAAAACGCGGCGATCTCCGTGCTTCTGGTATCCCTGTTGTAGAATGCTACTACAAGGAGAATTATTGAAAAACTCGTTCACCCAGGATAAAAGTCGTTGTTGTTTAATTCGATATTTAGCATTACTAAAATAAAACAAAATAATGTAGATTCAATATTAGACTGTTCTTGGGAAATCCTGGAGATTATGTTTGGAGTCAGGATGGTTTGGACACGATTGTAACACAAATGTTAAATCAACTGGATGGAACTGGACCGCCTCCTTTGCCAAGGAAGCAAATCGACGAAATACCAACAACTACTGTAACTCAAAGTCAAGTTGGTAAGTGTAAAATGTATGTTACAATTTGAAAACTAGAAAATTCTATTACATGTGGCCAGTGAATTGTTTCTAACAAACTGTCTTTTATTGCAGAAAGTAAACTTCAATGTTCTGTTTGCTGGGAGGACTTCAAAGTTTTGGAATCAGTCAAGCAACTTCCTTGTCAACATGTATTTCACGCACCGTGCATTGTACCGTGGTTACAGTTGGTAAGATAACAAAATTTGTAGTAAAGAAATGAAAGTTATCTTAATTAATATACAATCTTATTCATGATTTTTTTGCCTCCTTTTTTAGCATGGAACTTGTCCTATTTGTAGACAGAGTTTAGGTGATCAAAATTCCGCAGAAGCAAATCAATATACTGTTGGGCCTAGTTTAGCAGCCCTGTTCAGGTAATTTAAAAAACTCCGTTCCGCATACTACTTGAACAATAATACTTGAATGTATTTGTTAATTTTTAGGGCAGCGAATGAATCAACTAACACTAGCTCATCATCTACATCATCAAGTGAGAATTCAGATTGATTATTCAATCTCAACGCTTTCTCTACCTAGCAGGACACAAGTATACACACAACACACATCTGTTTTTCACATCAGGTTTATTTCCTGGCACTGTTGACTCCAGCAATGCTTATATACTTCGTAAACATTGTATCCCGACGCTAACATAAATTTCAAGCTTTATACCTTAATCAACAATGTAATTATAAATCATAAAGAATAATGGAGTATCGAGTTACAACTTACAATACGTTACTTCAAATGGATTATATCAAGGTGCGGATTATCACGAGTCAAAGAATGTATCCGCGCATACGTATTTAACGTTGAAGTAATCATTGTTACTATATAGATGCTATTATAGTTTACAACAAAACGCAGTTCATTAAGTTTCCTGAAGAAATATGTCCAAAAATTTTAAACGATTTATGCGTTTATTTATAAACAATTCGGATTTTAATGTTTAATAAATTTAATGTAGCAGAATAATAACTAGAAAGATAAACATTGTAATATAACTCAAGCATAGAAAGGCGGTGAGCGTTAGTGGTTTTCATTTTGTACAGTTCAGTCGAAAATTCATGTGCAAAATAAGCGCATCAAATATAGCAAATTTCCTGCAACTGTGAATGACATCATATACAGTTTAATACTATTAATTGTATTATACGTTCTTCTAAGTTTCCAACTTGAAATTGAAACATTACCGTTTTTGTTTGTATTTAAAGTCGTATCTCTTTACACCAGTATTTTTTTTTTTACAAATTATTATCGATATATCGTATTTTGAATGATACTAATAAAAGAACAATATAGACGATACTGGTGTATAGCGTACATATATAAGAAGATATTGTTTTAAAGCTTTATCATGAAAAAGAGAAGCCATTATGTATAACTTACAACATAGAACAATCTCGATATTTATGTCCTTATTTGTATTTATGTTTTGTCAAAAATAACCCATACAGACTATCTTTTAAAGTCTGTGTCGTTTTTCCAACATCAACCACCAAATTAATTCACAAAGTCAATCATAGGTGCTCTACGTGAAGCATAAATCATGATTTGCGACTTGTTCGTATATCTTAAAACTCTCTTGTGGAGGACGATATAAATACAAATCTTTGTTCGCTTGTAGTTCACAGTCGGTAAAGAATTTAAGTACCATAAATATTACAAGAATAGTAGGCATTGTGAATAGTGATTAGAGATGGCTACGTATTATGTTTACATTTATAGTTCTTAACACGTTACACGACTGAAATTGTTACTACCGGCGATACCAAGATTAAACGCTCCTTCAAATTGCCATATTATCTAGAACATAATAAGGTATAATGTTATGGATAAAGTTTGATTTGTTTCGTCTACTTAATAAGAATGTGAAATACACTTTAATTTGCTATGTTGCCCGTTTTTAATATAACAAATCAAAAAAATGAAACAGAATTAAGAAAATTATAATTGTACTTAGTTTCGAGAAGAAAAATACGAATTCAACCGCGGAAAGATTGTAAAACAATTTTAAAAATAAATAAATGGATTTTGTTCAAAAAAATCGAAATCTAACAGTTATTCAGTAGGCAGTATAACGAGATTTCGATGATACTTTGATAATTTTTAATATAATAGTAATCTGTTCAGTATGATTACAGAAAAAAGATGTAAGAAAAATTGTATGAATTAATTAATCTATTATGGCTTTAACCAAGAAATATATTTGTATATGTTAAATGGTTATATAAAAAATGATATTGATTAAAAAACTGTATATTTCTAAAAGTCAATTCACGATTTACACTAGTACATAAACGCCACTCGTTCGAATCATCATGACGTAGATTGCATAATTATTTATCTGCATAACAATTAAAAATGAAAAAAAAATTCCCATCTCTACATTTGAAATTTTATCGCAATCGTAGAAACTTGATAATAATATCAATGACTAAAACAAGAGTGAATAAATGGAAACGAATGACCGAGAGTAAATTATAAGGATACATAAGTTCTGATAACTGGTGATAACTTTGTGTAGAAGAATAGAACCGGCGATCAAGTTGATCGTCACGTATACATTAATTATTTATACTGAGACCCCATTTCAAAGAGTACTAGTACTAAATGTATAAAAGATGAGCAAGAAATAGTAACATAAAATTAGTTAAAATTTTGTTAATATAAACGTACATATCTACTAATCGTGTAAAATGTTGAACATAACCAACAAAAAGTATGTCAATCTAAAATGTTTCGGTCGAACTGAACAGAAAAAAGAATTCTCGTGTGTTGAGTGATATGTACTGAGTGAAATGCATATTGTAATGTATATTTCGAACATTCGTAAGGAATGGCTGAAAAGGAGGCAAAGATTGAATACGTGACAGAACCTTGTCCCATTGAACCTCGTAAAATAGGCCCACAAAACATCGTGGTACGCTTAAAGCGTCGCGAGACGTTTGGATGCCCTTATCCAGGAACCCATGTGCACAATGCTAGACAATTTTACCAAAATGTATTCCCAAATTTTACTGTAATGAATGTCGAAAAACCGCCGTGTTTTCTACGAAAATTTAGTCCTGATGGCCGTTACTTAATAGCCTTTAGCGCGGACCAAACTTCCATAGAAGTTTACGAGTATCGTGGTGCATCTGCTGCTGCTGATTTACTAGCAAATTGTGAAGGCGAATACATTGGCCACAAAAATGACGAATGTAGTTTTCAAATTAGAAGTAATATTTTTAATCGATTTTTTAAGGTACAATAGTCTCAGTTTTCTGTTACAATTTTAATTTCATTTAGGAATAATAAATGTTTATTAAAAAAAATCAATCTACAACAATATTTATAGGCTAAATGGATTGTGAATGTAGTTCAAAGTAACGAACAATTAAACAGAGAATGCAGTCTGTTTACAGATGATGGACGCTATGTAATTGTGGGTTCAGCTGCCCATATTCCAGATGAATTAAGACCACATTTTTACCAGGTATACACCTCTTTGATTGATTAATATCTATTTCTTAAATCAGTCAATAGCGTTGATTTTTATTTTATAAGATTTATTCCAACAATGAAGCATTAACACCAAATCCCAGATCACCTCTTGAAGATTATAGTTTACATCTGGTTGATTTGCGTGGAGGAAAACTCTGCGATACCAGGCATTTTACAGTAGATAAAATATATTTGTCTCACAATCAAGGTATGGATCTCTGATTAAACATTATTTGAAATTGACTTATGTAAAGATTCATATATATAAAATAACAGAAACACATTTTTCTCTATATAGGTCTTTATTTGTACAAAGATATATTAGCAGTTTTGTCTGTGCAGCATCAAACTATTCACATATTTCAAATCCTTGATGGAATGTTCATCAATGTCAGAACGATAGGAAGGTATTGTGTCATTACAAAAATGTCTTTTGCCTTGCATTAATTGTGATTACTACACTGTATTGGTGATTGTCTCTAATTTTCAACAGGTTCTGTTTAGAGGATGACGCTTATTTGGTGACAAGCGCTTGTCCTGGAGTAAATTCCCGTCCATTTAGAGATACTACAATAAATAGCCTTAAACACAAATTACTAGTTTATCTGTATAAAAGAGCAGCGTACATTAGCGATACGACAAAGGACCCATACGAATTAAGACGTTTTTACCAATACTTCGATCAGGTATTGCGTGAAATATGTTGACTATATGTATTACAATAAGTACATTACGTCTTTTTAATTTACAAAATATTTTAGTTGAATGCATTACGAATGTGGAAGATGCAGTTATTAGACACAAATCATATACTCGTACGATTTGCGAGCGAAGAAGTGGCGACGCTTCAAGCTAATGAACCTAACGCGCAGCCTGCGCTTTTGGTTGTTTACGACATGGTTGCAGCTAAAATATTAGCAGCTTACGATAACGCGTCTACACAGTTGTTGACGCAATTTGAAAACTTCAGCGATTTCTTCAGAAATGCTAGGATGAATACTGATTGTCAATACATGTGTTCTCCATCAAATAATATATATGCACGGTATGATATTCGCTAAAGCATAATGTGATGATTGTCTACATGATTAGCAATTGTTAATATTATGATTTTTTTACAGATTGTTACAGCAGAGATTCAAACAAACAATAGTAAGTGCCAAATATGGTGGTGTTACGGAAGCTACGAAAAGATTACTTGCTCAGTTACCTATATGCGCTCAATCTTACTCTAGTTCTCCGTATCTCGACTTATCCTTATTTTGTTACGACGATAAATGGGTCTCCATGATGGAACGACCCAAAGCATGCGGAGAGCATCCTATACGGTATACTTTTAATCTTAAGTAGTTTAGTATCTTCAATTTCTAATTATTGTTTAGGTAACGCTATCAACGTTTTTCTATACTTGTTTTACAGGTTTTATGCTCGCGATTCTGGTCTTTTAAAGTTTCGAATGTATGCCGGAATGTTGGGCCGTACAGCACCTACAGCTGCAAGACGGTTGGTTGCGTTTACTTTCCACCCGACGGATCCGTTTGCTATTTCCGTTCAACGAACGAACGCTGAATATATCGTCAGTTTTCACGTCAGACATGTTTAAAGCCCAATCGAAATGTTTAAAAATTGCAACACCATTTGTCTGATCTTATCCTCTACAACCCCTCTTTTTCAATAAAAGTGATCTCGTTGTACAGTGTCAATATGGCTGTCGATAATGTACTTTATTCGAGGAAATATTCATGAATATATCACGTGTTCCAAATTTTAAGTGGAAAACAGCGTTAGATTAAATTATCAAAATATTTATTTTGCTAAACGATCATTAGGATACATATTTTAGGGTAGAAATAGCTAGAAAATATATCTCTATGTTGTGTAGGATATGCGCAAGATTTGTTTTCATCTTTCAAGACTTGAATTACAATTCAAGAAATATCTATTATCTGTATAATTATATAAACGCTCCTTTGCGTGGGCTGTGGTATATCTACCAACGTAATAGTGCAATTTCTAGTAACTATTTTTAGGGACGTTTGCTGCGCCATCTATCTGCACGCTATCGAGTGGTGAAAAAAAAAGAACACGAACAGCATGTTGGAACGCTTGTAAATGCTTGTAAAGTAATGCGAAGCCATGCTGATTCGAGTGTAAAAGTGTAACGCGTGAAAATTCAGTCCAAAGTTTTATACTGTGCTCATTTTTATTCCGCTTCGCACGATTAGTGAACAAAATATTGCGGTTGATATATGTATATACGAAGAAAGACGAAGTGTAGTAGAAGAGGGACTAGCTTTTCCATGATTCACGTTCGGGCTGTATACGACCAGAACTACAAGCCGATGCTACTACGAAAGAATTGATTACTTAAAACAGTAAGCAAATAGCATTATACTTTCCTTAACTTGTAATTTAGAAAGTCAAGTAATTTTACTCGCAGATATGTGCGTTGTTTCTTTTATTCGAGGTTAATTATTAAACTGCATCTTCCGTGTACACGCACTGCATCGCATCGTGCATTTTGTAGTGACAAATATGGAAACGTGTATATGCGTGAATGTGTGTGTATGTACTATAGTCGCACGATCCTATTAAAAAATGATTAATAATTGGTAGTCATAAATAAGTGATCATAAAAATTCGAGAGCACGTCCTAGCACGTAATAATTGATCGAATTTTACAAATTTTATATTTATTCATACATGATTAATATGTGCTCATACAGTGATTAACAAGTGGTTACAAAAATTGAAATTACATTGAGATTTACAAAATAGTTTTAATACATAATCTTATTTCATTTCCAAAATAGTGTAAAATATAATTGTGTCTTTTCTATTTTGTTTCAGTTTTATAATACAGGAGTCACATGTAGTTCAAAGGAATACCAAAATTAATTACATATACTATTACCTTGGAATTATGGAATACTTTGAATATCAATACAACATTGCCATTGCTTAACAATTACACAAATTCTTCCATTTCTTTAAAGCTGAAGGATCAGTTTTATAATTGCACTAATTTGTAGATCAATGGTGATTTTATTTGCATGTTCATGCACTAAATCATTTAAAACATAATGAAAACAAATATATTTGGTGATTCCACAACACAAAAAATGGCAAATGATAAAAGCAATGAAGATTATAGTATTCACAGTACAGAATTGGATAAACAATGTTTTTCCCCTTGGAGTCCTTTACAAGAGAATGATGCGTTGCTTAAACATAGATATATATCATGTAGCAGATCAGTTCCACATAGAAATAGACGTTTTGTTCGGTACAAGATAAATAGATCATTGAATTTTGATGCAAATGCTCAGAGCTCTAGCTCAGAAAACAGTTCTTTCGAAGAAGACAAACATCTTTCTAGGTCTGCTAAAATAATGAGAGCTCTAAATTGCACCACCAGTCCTTCATATTATGGAAGGACAAAAATAAAAAAATCATTGAACTTTAATTTAACTCCTAGTCCAAAAAGATTTTTGCCTGCAAGAAGTATTCGGAAGACACTAAGTTTAAACTTTGGTTCACCTTTGTCTGCTTCAAGTAAATTGTTAAACTTTGAAGATGATTCGAATGATTCTGTGAAAAGCAAATTAATATTTACATCCACTGAATCCATTGATGAAAATCAAAATGAAACACCGTCTCAACATAGTACAAAAGATCATGATACATTGCATTTTTCAACTCCTAATACAACATTAAGCAGAAAATCCTTGTACTCTACTAGCTTCACACCAGTATTACGTAGTCGACTGAAAGAAACTATCGATAATATTGTATACATTACTGCAACACCTAACTCACAGTCATTGAAATCTATGAAAGGAAGAACCAAAGGTTTGAATAATGGCTTTGCAAATACATCCAGAAATTTGCTTCAGGAGTTTCATGACAGTGATGATGATAGACCTTGCACACCTGAAAATGTAATTCGAATAATTCCTGAAAGCATGAGTGCTATCAAAAGAAGTCATAGAAAGGAAAGATCATCGAGGTGGAACGGACATTCTACAACGCAGGCTACAAGTAGTTTCCTAAATAACACAAATACATTTGAAAACATGACCAAGTCTCAACACAAGTACCATTTGCAAGATTCCAACTCTACAGATCGATCTTCTAGCAGAAACTCTGATGCACAAGATATACCGTCGTACAGTTCGGAAGATGATATGTCAGATACAGGTTCGCTTTTCGATTATAAAGACGAACTGAAAAATGTCTTAGACGAATCTAAAGAAGTATCCAATTGCATGTCAAACTCTGACATTGTGCAACCTAAGTTTGAAAAGTGCGATATTAAAGTAAAAGCAGAAGATAATTTACCTGTTCAGAACATAAAGACTGAAGCTAGACCAGTGACTCCAGATTTAGCGGCGGAGCACATCTTAGAACCACAAAAATCTGTTACTCCGGAGAATCGTATAGATTTTCTAAAAAAAATTTCTAAAGATTCTATAAAAAAATCTCATAAGAAGAAAAAAGACGTAAATAAAAAGAAAATTTTTAGTTCGAAAGTTTTACAATTCAAAGTCGGAGATGTGAATCAGGCCGACGGAGAATACTGGGATAATTCCGAGCAAGCTGGAAACAACGAAGAAAATAAATTAAACGTAGAACAGAATAACTTTGATAAAGTGGACGTAGAACGTGCATGTACTCCGGAAATGGTACATTCCAGCAGGTTGTTACTGCCACAATTTAGTTCTGTTAAAAAATCTCACAAGAAAGACAAACACAGTAAAATATTATCTGGATTTTTGAAACGGCAAGAGTATTTTAACAAAGAAATAAACTCCGTGAAAGATAATAACAATAAAGCGTTCAATGGCGACGATGCATCCGAATATAAAAAATGTATAGATCTTTCTTCGGATTTCGATACCACTGCAAACTCCAGTGATTCTTCCTACCTGGTTAACGTATCAGCTAAATTGTCTCCAAGCAAAAGAAAGATATCGTTGAACACGACGTCATCGAGTCATGACGCGAGTGTATCATGCGATTCTGAATTGCAAGAGTGCGATATTTCTCAGGAGGAATTTCAAATTTTCACTCCACTTAAAAGGAAGAGACCTCTGATTGCATCGAACGCAAAAGAATATTTACATTTCTACGATTTACCATCCGGGAAAGATGAAGTATTAGAAAAACCTGTCGCTAATATCAATTTCTCAAGGTGTTTGACGCCTGTTCTAAGTCTCCAGGAAAATTACATCAAGCCAGAAGAAAATCATCCCGTGACGATAAAATCAGATGATGTTAGCACCGAAGATTTGGAAGTAAATGTTTGCGAGTCTAACAGTAAAACTGGCAGATCGACGCCAAGGAATATGTCGACCGAAGAATTGTACTCTAATATAGATTCCATTAAAAAATCACACAAAAAGAATAAACGTGGAAATATTTCACGAAAAGGCTTTAATCTGATTAGAAGTAATGTTTGCGACGAGAAGGGTCAGAGTTCGTCAGAAGACATCAAGAACGAAACATTTGAGAAATTAGAATCTCCGACTGACTCGATCGACCATGAAAAGGTTGAAGGTTCGAGCGGTAGCGCCAACGACCATGACTCGTCGAGTGCGAACCCGATAATAGCGATACAAAATGTGACACCACCAAATTGTTTGAAAGCAAAAAATTATATGAAGCTATTACAAGAAACGTCTATTAAACGATCACACAAGAAGGTCCGCGATCAAAGGAAACGCGAAGCTAGGATCGATACAAACGAATTGTCGGACGATGGATCTATATTCGGCGATGAAGAGAAATTAAATTATGTTGGAGAAGAGCACACTACTCTAGGTAAGCAGTAACGGTAATCGCGTTGATGTAGAGTTGTGATGATTTAAAAGACATAACTCACAAGCGTGGTAAGTATAGTTCTAATGATTCACAATCATCACGTTACGTGTATGTAAAAACATTTAAAAACCTACTTAGAAAGGTTTCTGACCATCACATGTTTTTCGTCTGACTAGACAGATTCAATAAAATTTTTATTTAAATCGTTCTATCCAGCAACAAATGCTTTGAATATGTAATGTGCCTTATATTATATGAAGTAATTTTTCTTTCTACTTAATTTCATCTATATGTACATACACAATGGCGAATGACGCTATTTAACAATCGTTGCGCTAACGCGAATAACTAAACTAACATCATCAACATTCGATTGTGATTCACCGAATTATTTTAACAGTTTGAGTGAACCTGCTCATACGCGGTGCACCGCTATTGTTGAATCTATGATAAAATCATAGATTCGTGTTATTTGTTAAGAATATTCAGTATATTTGATGACTTCATCATTGAGACTGGTTTTATATACGACTGCTTTGTCCCGGATAAAAGTTAGATTGTATATATTTTGCTGAAACGTTGCACGGAATAGTATTCATAAAATAATGGGACAGGAAAGTAAATAGGATACTCTCGTGTTTTTGTTAATTGTTTCAACATTTTTCTAGTGTAAATTTTGTTTCAAGTTTCATAGCATTTATGTAATGTATTGATGTGAATAAAAGCAGTACAATGTCCTCTACAGTTCGTAAAGCACCGTGGGTCTCGAATATCGTACAGCGGGAAATTAAATTCTATAGTTTTTAGTTTTTTCATTCAGACATTATTTTTAGAAGTTCTATATGAGCTTACCAATAAGATTATATGTATATCAAGATTGACATTATTTTTCTCCTAAATATTCCAATGACTTTAAGTATGTTGGCCCAAGTTTGCTTACGTAATCGATATAATACGAAGAATTGATCGACTAAGTAATACTTGAATATTTAACCCCTTCATACCCACACTTAGATGTAGTGGATATTATTCCTTTTTTTAATGCACACCAGTAGTGTGCCAATCTCAAAGAATAATCAATAAAAGATATTGCAACAATATACATTGTTTAAAACTGATGTGCATCAAAAATAATACAGTTGGCACGAAGGGGTTGAACTACTAAAAAAGTAGTGCGAAGCAAAGTACGAAGACGAAAATCTTTGTTGCAATACACGCGTGCATTACGATTCCGTCTAACATGTAACAATTGAGCCGGTGTAAAGTATAGCGATGAACAGAGATTCGCAAAATTCGTATATAGATACAAACGATGAATACTGGTCAGTGGAATAAACGTAATAATATGTCGTCTACAATTTTTTTTTTGCATGTCTTCCTTTGAAAGTGACCGTACTTGATCCATCGATTTTCGTATAAATTATAATCCATATACAAAGTGATTCTCTTACTGATTTCACATAAAGGCGCGGCGATAACTGTGTTTTTATATTCATCTATCGATAGGTCTCTTTTGTAACATAAGGGCCTCACTGTGTCCTCACCAGTTTCAGTTTAACGAACTACGTGACTACTGATTGTAAGATTCATATATGTACGTGACTGATTGTATGGCGGATTCATTATATTTTAATACAGTACGAAATGAATTAATTAAAATAGATATTATTGATAAGATACTTGTTTAAAATAAAAATTTGTAAACCTTTGTAAATTTATTGTCATAACATTAATTTACATTGATGTATTGGGAATTATATTTGCTACTTTAATTCCATGCTGTCGCTCACTTTTGTAAGTTTCATTCGCATAACGTTTGAATGAAATACCGATTTCTGCATTGTACGTGTAAGGTCAATTGCAACACCTCGTTCTTTCCTTTATTTTTTTTATATCTTATATTCCGTGGTGCTTGTTCTACGATAAAATTTGTAATATTTCAAACGTGCCTTATTTTGCATACAATTTTATACGTAGTCTGGCACTTGAAACGATTGGTACGTTTCTAGTTCTGATAAATTTATTTGAACTATAATATGTATATTGATATGCTATAAATGACTTGTAATTAATAAATGAGATATAAACTATGGTAATTGTCTTCTTTATATTATTCTAATTTTAAAGGTTGTACAGTAAATCAGTATTCTTTGTACCTTTCTTGAAATATTCTGTTTTCTTTCTTTTTGATTACAACTGTTTTTAACTCTTATCATCTTTAACATTATACTAACTAATAAACGTATTATACTAGTTTTGTATAATTAATTTAAATTACCCGCTCTTTTTAACGAAGCAATAGTCGCCATCTAGCGGTAGAACGGAGGAACTAATTTTAGGAGTTTGGTCAGCGCCTCTATCGGGAAAACGCTCAAGTTTGTCCCCGATAGTTCCTTTTTTCACCGTTAGATGGCGCCTTTTCGTGGTAATTTACCGACAGCTGTCGGTACGTTACCATCATGTCGGTAAATTACCACGCAAAGCGCCATCTAGCGGTGAAAAAAGGAACTATTGATGACAAACTTGAGCGTTTTCCCGATAGAGGCGCTGACTAAACTCCGAAAAATAGTTCGGGCTCTCTACCACTAGATGGATATCGAGTTGAATAAAAATTTTGTTTATTTGTAAATTATTAATCCAAACATTAAACTAATGTCACAGGAGTGTGAATTACATGATAATAATGATCATTTCGTTATGATTTTATTCCGAAACGTGCGTTTTTCGAATGCTCGAATTTTCGACTTCAGTTAGATTTCGAATTCAGCTTCAGAATCGGGATTTGAACATCATTAGAGTTTCGCCTCTATAAAAATACTAAGAAGCTCTGTTGTTATATTATACATGTGCGAATACATGTCAGAAAAGTAAATGGAACTTGATGTTGAGATATTTATCGTGTGCAAGACTTTAATGTGTAAAACAAACGTGAAACAAATATGGGAAAATTAAACGTCATAATTTTACGATATTTAACACGGGATGATTTCCGTGTTTTAACAGCTGTAAGCATTTGTGATAATTTGTGGTTATATTGATTTTGTTCTAAATGTTTTCAATATATGGTGCTCTTGCTTACCTTTTTTTTTATGTACAAAAATGTATAATTTTCGTTAATAAATGAGTTGGTGCATGTTTAAGTTATATTCGTATTACATTGATATATATCGAAGTTATTTGGTTAGCAATCAAACGATTTTGTTGAGCTAATGATTAATGAAAATTACATGTTTGTCTGCTAAATAGTTTATTATGTTAATATTTGATATTTCAGATCGAGATGGGAATGAAGAATCATGAACTTGTTCCTGCATCATTAGCTGCTCAGATAGCAAATTTACGTTATGGAGGTGTTCATAAATTAATGAAGGAACTGTGCAAGCATAGACTTCTCAGCTATGAACGTGGGAAACATTGTTAGTTGCTATCAGATTTCCAGTGTTTAAAGAACTGAATTTTTATTTTATATTCAAAAATGATATTGACTTATTTGTCATCACTTTTTAGATGATGGTTATCGATTGACAAATGCTGGTTACGATTATTTAGCTTTAAAGGTCTTGGCTCAGAGAGGTACCTTGTCCTCATTTGGTAATCAAATAGGTGTGGGAAAAGAATCTAACATTTATGTAGTTGCCGATGAACAAGGAAATCCAGTTTGCTTAAAGCTACACAGGTTAGGAAGAACATGTTTCAGAAACATTAAAGGTAAAAGAGACTATCATGGGCATAGGAAGTCTGCATCATGGTTATATTTATCAAGAATATCTGCTACAAGAGAGTTTGCTTATATGAAAGCACTTTTCGATAGAGGATTTCCAGTGCCAAAGCCAATTGATCTTAACAGACATTGTGTTGTTATGGAGCTGGTTGAAGGTGGACCTCTGTAAGCAAAATTCAAAATGTCTGTAAATTTTAAACGAATTATACTTATTTTATGAAGTAATATTTCGTTCTAGGTGCGGCGTATACGAAGTGGAAAACGTTGAATCACTTTATGATGAGTTAATGAATTTAATTGTAAAACTCGGAAATCATGGAGTCATCCACGGCGATTTCAACGAATTTAATATCATGATGACAAATAGCGGGAAAGTAATTTTAATCGACTTTCCGCAGATGATTTCCACTGAGCACGTCGACGCTAAAATGTATTTCGACAGAGATGTGAATTGCATTCGCGATTTCTTCAAAAGACGTTTCGCTTATGAAAGCGAGTTATATCCAACATTTCAAGATATTTCGTAAGTGATGAAAATTAAATAGAGTATGTCAAGAGATACCAAACCTAACCCTGTGTACTTATGAACGATAATTTCTATTTAGGAGGGAGGATTGCATTGATGCAGAAATTAAGGCCAGTGGTCTGACTAAACAGATGGAAAAGGATCTTTTAAGGGAAATGGGTATTGACGAATCTGAAGATGTGGAAGACAATCAGCTAGCAGAGGAAACCGAAGAAGAGAAAACTGTAGATGAAAAGGAAATTGGTTACCTACAACATCAACTCGAAATCTCCATAAAAAATGAATTTTCGTGTACATCCAGGCCAATTATAGCGACATCAGAGACAAATAAAGCTGAAGATTCGGAAAGTTTGGAGAATCAAATCGTAGAAGAAGGTGTTAGAAACATCGATATAAATAAGTCATCGGAAAGCACAGAGAACCCAAAGTTGTGCAATTTAAATGTCAAACATAACCTAGAATCAGTAAAATCACAAACGTTCAATTCGGAAGACGAGTATGAAGAAAGTAGTAAATTCAGCGATTCAAGGAGTATGTACAGTAATACCACGACCGCTACAATCGCTCCAGAAGTTATTAAACAAAGGGTAAAGGTAACTTTACAAAGACGCGATAAGAAACATCAATCAAAAAGAACTCTTGTGAAAGGTGAAGCAAACGCGGTCACCAGAGTTAGAAGAGAGAACAGGGATACGATTAAGCAATCGACGGGAATATGGGGTTGGGAATAAAATATTTGTTACTCGTAAATTATTTATAATATGCGAACGATTGGTACAAACGGTAATAAACCTTTATCCGTTGACGCGTTTGATTGTTTCTTTTCCTACCTCTGTGCATATATATAAATGTTTCGCAACTCTTTTGATATGTATAGAAATACAGTTAGTTCTCGACTTATACGGCTAGTTCGTTCTGGAACTTCTCGTGTACGTGGACAGTGTCAAGTAAGTTTTACGTAATTGTAAGCCTTTGGACAGATTTACTACTTTAGTGAAGGGGATCTTGTCAAATGCATGATAGCGATTGGTTACGTATTTGTATCATTATTGAGCGGCTTATTGCGTACATAGGTACAATGTACGTATATTGTCATGCAAAAATAACTTGGACAGTGGCGAGATACAGTCAGAGGTCGCTTTTCAATCTAACCTTAAACAAGGAAGACTAAGCAAGACAACGCAAGGAAATAGACCAAGTAAGATGGAAAAGAATTAGTGGGATGTTTGAGAGAAGGATGGAAGATCACGAATTTCAGAGCGGAGGGTGTTGTAAATGTTGAGAAGAAAAATTAATACGGATCGTGTATTATTTGCATTACGACAACGCGCTCATACATACAAACTCATGTGCTTGTTTATGTTAATCCTTTCGTGCCATACTGTAAAAGTGATAAAACAATATCAATTCCGTAGCTTTGCCAGTGATTTCTGACCTGACTTTCGTGCATAAAAAATGATAAAGACAGTTTTGTATTTATACACCAGTCTTGTTATTATGGAATACGCGTTACTACTATTTACTAATTACGAACTATCTTTACAGATTGTTTAATATTAATTATTAAGATAAAAATGTAGCAAGAAATGGTTCTCTATAACGATCTATTGGAAAAAATAAATTAAATTTGTTCACTTTTAAGGACCTGTGTAACATGTCGCCCAAGGGCACGTGCCTTTTCTGTCCTCGTCTGTAATAGTATTTATTTATACGTAACGTTTAATTCTAGCGAACAATTATATTGAGATAAAATGTTATTTGTTCAACGTGAAAGTTAACATTATCCTGTAATTCAGGACATCAATTCTTCACCGAACAAATGACAAGATATTTATCTTCTATTCGTTACTCGTAATTGTTTATCTAGATGAGAAGTTTCGCCCGTTATCAATACATGGAAACTTGCGTCGCGCAGATAAGATAACGTTTAGTTCGTTTCAAATTGGACATGAAAATATAAAATATTATTCCATCGCTGTTTCCATATGTGGTCCATTTCGCAATGGATCAGCGATCTCTGAACTTTAAACCGAATCGATGTCGAGCAATTGAAGTCTTCATTTTCAACTTTAATAAATTCTGGCTTAACGACTACCTTGGGGGTGGATGGGACGGAGGACCTGGAAAAAGAAAAGCTTCCAGTAATATACAGGGTGTTTCGTTTAAATCGCAACCTATCAAAAAAATGTTGTTATAAAAGTTATTTGGTTCAAATGAACAAATTATATGGTATAAATAGTTTGATTGTAAGTAAAGTGATGGAAGAGATTTGATAAACAAATTAATTTTTGAATTTGCTCTATCATTGTTACGTTAACATCTAAGAAATCAGGTTGTCTATTTATATAAACACTGCCGCACAAAATAACTGAGCGCAAGTCACGGGACAAAACTATTGGTACAATCTAATATCATACTCGTTAAACATTCACTCTCATTTAATTTGCATTCAATCGAAGTAGTGAATTATATGAAATTTTCTTTTTTACCATTATCGAATCAATTCCATATATCGGTAAGTACGAAAACGTTAAACATAAAAAATATAGCCACGTAAATTGAAATCGGTGAACGGTAAGTATGTTTGTTTTAAATAATTGCGAAGTATTCTAAAATAAATGACATGTCGATTTTGATTTTAGCCCACCACTGAAACATTTATCTTCATCGAAGAAATTTGAGAAACGCTGGCCTACGGTATAGATTGACGAGGAGAAGCGTCATTTGTCGATCGACGAAAGAAGGAAAGGTTTCCATGGGTTATGGGTGATAAGGCAGCTCGTCGTGGTGATAGCGAGAACTAACCGTTCTCGGCGGGTGTTCATATATAGACAGCGCGCGTTCTCCTTCTTTAGTTTCGAGTCGGGTCCCAGTGTTCTTTCGAGAAATTTTTCGTTTCCTTCCATTTGTTCAAACGCAACCGTCGCCTACGATCATGGCCAAGGACAATCTCACCGCTATTCTTTACGGCATCAATGACATTCGTTTGGTCAGTACGAATTTTTACGTGTACCTTGTACACGAACATAAGCGATTAATGTTAATAAACGGATCGTACAATTTCCACCTCCTTCGGTATTATGAATTATGAAAATTTTTCGAATTGTTTATCTGTAGAGGCAAGCTTTAAAATTGTGCATTTTTAGCACAACTAAAATGCCGAGTGCATAATTGCCAGAGCATAATCGCACTTGGCATCGATAAGAAATAAATTTAACAGATTGAGTGTCTTGGATCTCTTTCCTTATCTTGGGTATCAGTGCATGATCCGAGTAAATAGCGGAATTTTAATTATATTCACGAGAATAATACGTCTCCACTAAAATAAACAGACGTATTCCTATTCGTGTTTAGTTTGAGAATTCGTAAGTTCCAAGTTTATTTGTGGCAAGTCTTCGGATTTGTAGCGTTTGGTACGTGACCCCCAACAGAAAGTCTCGTGACACTCAATCTGTCGAAGACGGCACGAGTGAGATTACCTTTCGGCTCAAACTCGATTCAATTTCTTCATCTCTTCGTTATTAATTGAAAGCGAGCTACATTAACTTTTTGAATGGCGACGAGACGAGAACAGACCAGATAACTAGAGACGAATCATTTGCGTTCATTGGAGGATCAAGGTCATCTATTTCTATCGCTGTATGCTCATTACTGTAGTAGTTAAGTACCTGCACGCTCAATCGCTTCCGTATTATTAGCGAACAGAGTACACTCACGTGTTGAACGATATCATTCCATTACCTTCTATTGCCTAAGTTGATGTTCAGCGATGCCCTCCCGCTCACCTTGCGCTATACCAACAAATTCAAACGAAACTGTCAATCTATTACGCGGTTTGTAACGTGCTTCGAAATCTCTCTGCGTTAATCGAATTGGATGTGGAAATTAATTCTGTGCCTATACATTCGATCGTTTGGTACACAATTTAATTTGGTCACAATTTAATTAAAAATATGTATCGGACATTTCGGTACGTTAAATTACCAACCTATTTAAATTCTCAACCTGATGGTCATTACAACTCGTCTATGCATGCGAATTTCAGTAGCCCGCAACTCGTTGTTGTTCTTCCAACAGGTTACAATTTTACTTGGGATTTATTACATACAGAAATTATTTTTCTTTTTTATTCGTAACTCTAGTTTAGAATTAAAAGAAGAAATTTGAAACTGCATAACTTCTTTCAATCTTCTTTTTAACACTCCCTTCAGGAATACCAAGTGTTTACAGTTTCGATATAGTTTCATGCCCGGACCTCCGTAACCGCTTGTGTGCCGCGAGGTGATCTTGGGTGTGCCGCGATGATTTTCACGAGAATAAAAAAACATTTTAACCACCGCGTTAGTTTAAATTTGTCCAAGTCGTATACTCTTCCAATTTTCGTATATGTATGCTTAAGCGTCAACGCCTTTGTGTCTGAGTGACGACGCACTTTAGTTAATTAACATTGATTAAACGGGCAAAAGTAAATACCAAACAACAAACTTTATATTTAAATTTATAGAGGACATTTTTTTTTTTTTTTTTTTTTTTTTTTTTGGTTGTTCTGTAACTATACATTTTTATTCTCGCGTTGGTGTACAATCGAAACTGCTTCATATATATAAAACTTAAATAAAAGTAAATGTCTACGTACATAGAGCTCTTTTATTGTGTTTTTTACTTAATGAAAACATATACGTGTTATTGTAATTTATGTATTTGCAAGCTTTTACATGTGTGCGAAATTATCGATAAAACATTGTTATGCCGTGAAAGATAAAAGGTTGCGGAACACTGCCCAAGGGTGTTCAAATCTAATAACAATATGCGCGGTCATCAGAGTCGGCTCAGGAGTTTGCGAGGCTTCAGCCAACACCCGATACCAAAATAATTTTTATTAATATTTAACATTAATATTATATTTGGGGAGATCACCTTTCAAATTAATCGGTATTCTTGATTTTTAAGATTATAAATGATTGCTCGCTCTAATTCTGTCACATAAAACGTTCTAATATTTTTCATTTCAGGAACAAACTCCTATCGAGGAGCCTAATGACGATGGTAAGTGTCGCTCTGGATTTGTTTATTTCTATTCAATCTATTCGCCAATTTTCTTTTCTTCCTCGACCGAAGAGATTCATTCATACGTTTATCAGGTGTTTAGCTAAACGATAGTTTGAGTGTAACGTTAGAGAACTGTTGCAATTAAGTGTCGTCTCTACCATTCGACGACAAACTATAGAACTATAGGATGATTAATTGGCGTTGCTTTGTTTTTAAACGTCTATGCATCGAGTGCGAACGTATACATTCTTTGAAGCAAAGAAAACTAACATACGAACGTATAACGCAGGGTTTCTCAAACTATCTTCTGTAAAACATCGTAGTTAATAACTAGATAAATGAAACAGAATTGTAATTTGAGTGAAAATTTGTCTCATATTTCCATTTGCCATAAATGCATAAATATTCGCGTGCTAGTCATATTTAAGATTAGTCGTGACGGTTTATGTAATCGAGTTATCGAGTTACGTGAGTCGAGATTCGATGTAATCGTAAATAACATACACTTTCCATTAGGATGCTTTTCAATGCAAGCATTAATTAACGATAAGATAGATTTCCTTCTGTTTATCTCTCTTTATATCATCCTCTCGATCCGATCGATTGAAAAAACCGATTAACAAAAATCCGACGATGATCGATCAAGTGTGATTGAATTACTCAAGAGTGATTGAATTACTTCGAATTTATGATGTACAATTTGAATCATCTTGAACACTACTCGATACCAAAAGACCTTGAGAGCCTCAAGATTCTCAAGTTCAAACGGTATGAGTAATAGAAGATATCAACTATCTCAAACGCATTTGCATCGCATACCATTACAATTTACACTTTTACATTGCTCGAGATCGCTGTGACCTGTATTCAGAAAAGTTAGCTAAAACACGTTTCCTTTTAACATCAAATCTGAATTTTACGTTTTCAGAGGTACTCCTTAGAATGAGCTGCGTTGGAATTTGCGGTTCCGACGTGCATTATCTTGTAAAGGGTGGGATTGGTGATTTCGTGGTGCGCAAACCCATGATCATCGGCCATGAGGCCTCTGGTGTGGTCGCCAAGCTAGGAAAAGGCGTGAAGAATTTAAAGGTAATTCGAACGAATCCTCTTGCGGGACAATTTGTTCAATTTCAGAAGCATTATATTATTATTAAATATTATATTAATATAGTCTAATATCTTATTGTCCGAAACATGTTCCAAGGCCAAGTAAAATACCACACTTTTAATCCTTAAGTTTCCATAAAAGTTTCGGACAGTGATATCTTAGTATACTATAATAAGATAATATTGATATAATACAATATAATAATATTATTGCGAGCAATCTTCCGGATCGAACGCCTGTCAAGCTGACATTAGATAGCCAGATGCCATTATGTGCAGACGTACCGATATACTATTCTCGTATATTAGAGATTGTATTCGGTTACTTTTGTTCTCGTTAGCGTTCTGTTACACTTGTTGTACAGTAAAGTTTCATTATGATGAACCTGAAATGTAACAATATTATATTAATATGATAACATCATATTCCATCGAGTATGTGGAGAGCGTGTAGCAGTCAACCCTTTACGAAGGCTGGCTAAAACGTCTCACCTAGTTCTGGGCGAAGCTCCTTCCCGATCGTTTCTCAACAAGTGTTTGAATTAGGTTGGCGATCGAGTGGCCATCGAACCTGGCGTATCCTGTCGCACGTGTCACTTCTGTAAGGAAGGACGTTACAATTTGTGCAAGGATATGGTATTTTGTGCCACGCCGCCGGTCCATGGCAATCTGAGACGTTACTACAAACACGCAGCCGATTTCTGCTACAAGTAAGCCACGATTGAGTCAGTAGCAATCTGTAACCTTCTTGCTAGGGGTGTGCGGGATCCCGGTCGGGACCGGAATTCCTCCCAGGATCGGGATGGAATCCCGAGGATTCCAGATTCCCGAAACCATTCGGGATTCCCGAGAATTTCGAGATCCCGTACATTCTCGGAAATCCCGGATTTATGCGGGATCTCGCGTATTCTCGGGAATCTCGTATCAACTCGGGATCCCGCATAAACTCGTGAATCCGGAATTTTCTCGGGAATCCGGATATTCTCGAGAATCCCGCACATTTTCGAGATCCCGCATAAACTCGTGAATCCCGGATATTTTCGGGAATCCCGAACATTTTCGAGATCCCGTACATTCTCGGAAATCCCGGATTTATGCTGGATCTCGCGTATTCTCGGGAATCTCGTATCAACTCGGGATCCCGCATAAACTCGAGAATCCCGAATATTCTCGGGAATCCCGAATATTCTCGGTAATCCCGGATATTCTCGGGAATCCCGCACACCCCTACTTCTTGGACATTCAAGCTTTCCATAAATATACAAAAATACACAGTCTAATTATTATATCGATTCGCGAAACATTTGTCTCCGTACGTTTCGTATGCGCTTTTTACGAATGCAGAAAATCGGCAGTCTGACGATAGTTATCCATCTATACATATATAAGAATGAAGTCCAACATAAAGATACAATGGTTCGACCGCGACATATTAAAAAGTTCGACAAGGTTATCGTCGTCACTGCGGCTTTGCGTCACTGACTGTTAAGATAAGGGGGAAATCTTATTTATTCGGCAATTTGCAACACAATCTAATAAGATAACGATCCAAATGCACGTACGTGACTATTATCTCGATTCAACGAGTTCTATCTTTGATTATCTTTGATGTCCTCTTACTCGAATAACTGACGTCCTGAAAGCCTCGGGTATCGTATTCTAAGGATTTCATTGATCGCAGGTTACCGGATCACGTAACGATGGAAGAAGGAGCACTGATGGAGCCTCTATCTGTCGGTGTCCATGCTTGCAAACGCGCAAACATCGGTATCGGCTCGAAGGTGTTGATTTTGGGCTCAGGCCCCATCGGTCTCGTCACCTTGTTGGTAGCCAGGGCTATGGGTGCCAGCAAAGTTGTTATGATTGGTGTGTTAAACGTATTGTTCGCTCTTTTCTGAAACATACTATTCCTCTTTTGTGACACTGTGTTCACTGTCCAGATCGGCTGAAGAGCAGGTTGGACGTCGCGGAGCAACTGGGTGCTGACGCAACGTTATTGGTGAAGGAGGAATACACGGAGCCGGAAGTTGTGAAGAAAATTCACGATCTCTTCGGAGAAGAACCTGACAGATCGATCGACGCTGCTGGGGCTCAGTCGTCCATTCGGTTGGCAATTCTCGTGAGTTCCTTCGTTTTGGATCGCATCCAGCATCGATGAGACGACTTTTGGTTCTTGACACTTTATTTACCTTTATTTGCTTATTTATTTTTTTACCTTTATTTGCACAGTGTTGCAGAAATTGAATCGCCATTTACTATTCATCGCCAGTTACTATTACCATAGTAACGATATGGAAGAAATAATGTCAGTCTGTGTAAACGCGTGTTAATATAGAAAATTCTTGTTCAAATTGCAAACTGTTTCTAAATATGTAAATAAAGTGTTAAAGTTTGTTGCAAGGTCTCGTGCAACGTGTTGTTCGTTTTCAGGCGACCAAATCCGGTGGAGTGGCAGTTTTGGTAGGGATGGGTGCACCGGAAGTCCAAATTCCATTGATCAACGCCCTGGTAAGGGAAGTCGATATTAGAGGAGTCTTCAGATACGCGAACGAGTAAGTTTTACTAATGTTAATTATGTCTGTTTTACTTGGAAACATTACTTTATAAAATTCAGTTATCAAAATTAAATGTTAACACGTTCCGCGCCACGATTTATGGTATACGTTAAACTTGACCTGTAGGCCACGTGTACCATAAATGAAAACATATACTTCATGACAAATTTAATTCTGGAAAATATTTTTCTACCGAAAGAATGAGGCATCGCTGCAGTATAGAACGAAATAAAATAAATTAATTATTCATGGGTTAATGATGTAGTGAAATACTGCGTGAATAATGTATCAATCTTCGATCAATTTCGTCAAAACTTCAAATGGCCTGCAATTGCCAAGGAACGTGTTAATTACCCAATACGATTTAAATTGCAATTTTTGTCTTGCAGTTACTCTGACGCCCTGGAACTAGTGGCCTCTCGAAAAATAGACGTGAAACCGCTGATAACCCAACATTACAAAATCGAGGAGACCGTAGCAGCGTTTGATACTGCAAAATCTGGACAAAGTGATGTCATCAAAGTCATGATTCATTGCGACTAGTCGAAACGAAGAAGGAAAGGAAACGAGAGCAACCTTTTGTCGCCTACCTTTTACACAATGACGAAATTCGATAATTGTAAAATGTTTAGGAAATGTAAGGGAACAGTCCCGAATGAATCGATACCGTGGATGTTAAACACTTTACGCGCGTCAGATTAGACAAAGGGTTGACGTATACCATTGGCGAACTTGAATTATTATCGACGACACGTAAATCAGATTCAAGGTCTTCGAGTTTTTATCGTTTCGCTGAAACGCGATGCGTAGATAGTGTAAAATGCCATATTGAAATATATTATAGCGACGAGCGTCTGGCACGCATAGACTTTAAATGTTATTTTGTTGTATACATAACGCGATTGGAAATATGGAATGCGTATTATAATTGAAGAAGTAACTTTCGAATATGCCGTAATGGAAGACATGTTCGACTTTGTAATTTTATCGTTGCGAACGCTGTATGATTACACTACTAGAATACTGTATAATGTTGATAACGTAATCTAGTCGATTTCGCGATTTTTTAAGGATTAAGAATGTTTCTGTTGTTGTCAGTTGATATTGAAATTTCAGTGTATATATATTCAAAATAAAATGTTTTCGAGATTAATATGTCAGAAGAAATTACTATTAATGTTTACCTAATTTAAATTACGCGCACTTTTTAACCCGCCATCTAGCGATAGAAAGGCCGAACTAATTTTCGGAGTATGGTCAGCGCCTCTATCGGGAAAACGCTCAAGTTTGTCCTCGATAGTTCCTTTTCTCACAGCTAGATGGCGCCATTTCCGCTATCTTTTTTACCGGCATGATGGTAATGTATCGACACGCATGGTAATGTATCGACGCGAATGGTAATGTATCGACGATGTCGGTAAAAAACCCGCCATCTAGCGGCAAAAAAAGAAACTATCGAGGACAAACTTGAGCGTTTTCCCGAGAGAGGCGCTGACCAAACTCCGAAAAATAGTTCGGGCTTTCTACCGCTAGATGGCGGGCTGAAAAGTGCGCGTAATTTGAATGATATAAGGTAGCAGTTTAAAATAATACGTGCACGCGTGAATATACACAAATGTTTAAAGGATATTACACTTAAATTACTTCATATATACTCACCGTAAAGCAACCACAGTGCCATGGTAAACATACATAAAGTAATTCAAGTGAAAAACGTAAGTATCGTCACGTGCAAGGTTCTCGGTGTATTAAGATGCCTTATTAAATTGAATATCGCACGTAGTCTTATTACAAGAATTCATTTTTTCCTTGGATATTGTATACATTCTATTTTCTTATTCACTCCCTCAAGTCTGGAAGGGTTTAAACATGAGTTTAACTTTTAAAGTCTGTCCTGCTCGCTACATGTAGCACGAAATCAATGAATGACGAAACGAATTCACTGGAACGGAAACCAGCCGTTCCAAGCTGCCTTCGCGTGAAAAAGCGACGAGTATAAATCGAACGATTATGCGAGAGTCGTGACGCGTCGTTCGCTGCGACGCTCTACTCTCGGGAAACACGATTGGATTGATTCCGGTGATAAATCTTTCCTCCAATTCACGAGGTCGAAGCTGGGCCACCTTTTCGATTAAAGGAATTCGTGAGAATGCCTGCTACTTGATATAATAAAATGATACATCTTCTACATTTCTATGGTAAATGGAAAATGTGTGACCGAGAGAATATTAAAAGTTGCATGGTTTTTCTTTTTGAATAAATAGCGAGTATAGAAAGGCACAGAATTATTTTCAACATTTGATATTATGCACATGGTAGCCTAAGACTCTCGCCCATTACTGTAATACTCTCCACCCTATATGTTTCCAGAAAAACTTTTTCGATATTCAGTCATCAGCGAAAGAACGCATAATCAAGGCTCGCGCCATGACACGCAACGAACGCAGAGCATTTCAGCGCGCGCACGACTCCGTACATTGAGAGTAGCCGCCGGCGAGAGTGGTTATCAGGAGGCTGCGATTGGTAGTGCCCTCTGACCCCTACGAAGGCATAGCTCCGCCTCTCGTTTACGCGCCTCGTCGTATACGTATACACGCGTTAAAAACAGCCTTCTTTTCCCGTTGGGTCGCGGTCGTTCGTTCTCGACAAACTACCCCATCGTGCAACCCCCAAAACAGCGATTCTAAGCAAAGATGAGTCGTCAGGACAAAAAAATTTTGTTACGCGTAGATTCCTCATAGTTGATGACTACTTTGATATTATAAAATAACGTAAAACATTGGTATTATTTGACAACGTACGCGATGGTCTCATATTATATTAGTTGGGCCAAGAAGTTCGTTCGGACTCAAAGCAGAAATAAACAGCGATTTTTCTTAACCTATTTACTAGGCAAATTTAAAGCCCTTTGTCTTGGGCGCCAAGATTCGATAGAGATGCGTGATCTAGGTCACTATTTTGCTAACAAAAAGTGGCAACTCATTCGCTGTTTTAATAAGAAAAGTTACTATCTTCTTGTGCAACAATTCGTGATTCCCTTGAGTAATCGCCAGTAAACATGTTAAACAAAAAACTATTATCGTCTATTTTGTTCTATATTTCCTCATCTTTTGTACAAATTCACGATTCCTCGTTTGCAGAAGTCCCCATCGAGTAACCATCTGAACTCCACAGAGACGAACATCATCAAAAATCGAACGAACTCTTTGGCCAATTCATATACATATCATGTTCAGTGTCACAAAATGACGAGTAAATATTCTCGCGACGCCGACGCCTGGTTCTTTATCCACCTACAATCCACTCTTCTCGATCTCCGTCGTCGCGGTTCCGGAAGCGCGCATCGTTCGCCAAGGAAGCTGCGCTCGATCGACGGAAGACGCGACGGACAAACGAAGACGTCGCAATTTATGCGTGGGTCGCGAATAACCAATTGAAACACAACGAACGCGCATTACTCCATCAAGAAACGGAAGACACGGAGCCCATTTTACCGGGGCGCGTTCCCTTTGATCGCCGTAAACCGGTTAATCGGATCATCCATCGGAGAAAGGCGCAACGAGCTCGTCTATAATAATAATATTGTCAACCTGATGGTCGTTACGATAAAGTACAGTACACGTGTAGAAATGAATTCTGCGCTTTTCTGAACTAACCTTAATATTTAATTAATAATAATACAACAGACAATGTCGATGTAATCCGCGTGTTTCATTTCTTCGAAGGTTGGCACTTCAGCGTAACAAAATGACGACTAAATATTTCTTAAACTAGAGTTATAAGTGTGCGAATATAAAGGCACAGAATTCATTTCTACGCCTGACATCTACGTATAGGGAATTTAGTAGCCATCAAAGTTCGCTCGTTAGAATCTGAATTCTGTAAACTTAGATTACAAGCTGTCGTCCCAATTTCGTTGGATGAGAGTTTCCATTGCTCGCTCGTTATCCGAATCGAAGATGTATCGTAATCGCTGTTTTTAGCCGTCGTTATCGCGAAACGACTAGAAAAGAAAGGGGAAAAAATGGTTGTTTACTCGATAGTCAGTGATGCAATGGGAGTTGCGATACCAATATTCTCGGTTGGATCGTTCCACGAAAACGTTCGGCCAAAATGGCTGTCGATTATGC